TCTGCTCAAATCCTGACTTGAACATTGAGTAGAGTTCTGGAATACGACTTTAAGAAAAATAATTTATCAAAAGAAATTCGTCCTGCCCAAATTCAATAACTATTATGGAAAAAGAAATTGGAAATATTTGTTACCTGCATTAATGAACAAAATGAGCGAGGAATTTATATGTAATTATCAAAACAACAAACACTATAAATCATACATTAAGAAACATTTTTGAAAACTGAAAATATATAAACTTTATTTTGTAAATTGCTTGATTGTTATTTTATGCATAGGCATGTTTTTGTCGTGATGTAATTTATTTTAGTTTTTAAGATTTTTGCTCTATTATATTATATTTTTACTTAACTAAGACTGAAATCCGTCGCCGCGGATAAAGCTGGAAGGGGGAAGAGCTTTTGTGAGCAAAGCTTGTATTTAGTAAATAAGTTTTTTTTTCTGTATTTTGGTCAATAAACTTTAAAAAATTCACTTGCTTTCTGAGTTTTATAAATTCGTTGATCCAAAAAAGTTCATTAGTTGATTTTTCGGCAACCGATTCTAAGTCGAGCGTGTTAAAACATGTTCGGCTAGCTAGAACAAAACAATTATCAATTTTTACGCTATACCCTATGTAAACAGGTTGGACTTTAGATACGATAGACGTTACAATTGAATTGTTACAGTAGTTACAGTTGATACTTAACATACTCACAAAGTTTCCCTACTAGAAAAGGGTACAAATAAAACAAGGTTAGTAATTGCTAAACACATTTGAAACTGAACTGAGGTACCGTTATGATCAGAGCCGTCTACTGGAGGCCCCGGACAACTTAGGATAACGGGGCCCCTGTGACTATGACATACCAGGACTATTTTATTAACAACAAGCAAAAAGAGAGGGTAAGCAAAATTCTAGATATTCAACCGTTATTTTTAAATTTTACTATCGCATTAGACCGTTATAATTTGTCCTCGAAAAGGTCTAACCATTAACTCTTCTACCATATATATGTATATAGGTTGGTGCTTAAAAATCTATGTTGAAACAAAAAAGCTGATAAGTAAGTATTACATATTTATAGTCAGGAATCGTAATCGAATTTGTAACTGTAATATCGGTTATCTGCTGGTATCTTTCCAGGAACGGGGGGTCTCATGGATCGCGGGGCCCTGCGCAGTTGCCCAGAGGGGCCAATGGAAAAGAGGAGCCTAATTATAATGATCATTACACAGAAATTCTCTCGCAACTTTTACAATACACTCATACTGAGGTACTTTTATAATTCAGAACTTTTAAATTTAGTATTGATTTGATAACTAATAAATATTACGTTTGTAGCATGCAACGCAACAAAACCTTGTAAATAAATGAGCTAGGTACTGGGGAGCGTAGCCGTGGTTGTAGCGTAGAGAGAGGTACTATTTAATAATAAACGATGAATATATTCATAATTAAAGATTTACTATGAACGTTCGGTTTGCAGATTTGTCCAGAACTCTCCCGATGTACATTTGACAACAACCTTCTATTATTTTTATACGATTCTAAATATAAACCCACCTTATTTTTTAGACAGCTCTAAATACAATATAATCAAACCAGCCTGCTACAGTACCTACCTACAAAAATAACAACTTTCTTTAATTAGCGTCTAAAGCAAAATATGTTTTCTTCCATACTGGTTCTATATGAAATTGACAAAGAAAACATAGTGAGTACGTAGCAGGGAGTCACATAAGAGTATATATTTATACGACCCGGGTTGGGGGAGCATTGCAAGCTGAAATACACGTGGAAGCAATTGCAGCCCTAACGGTGATGAATACGAGCTAGCTTGAGGGAGCTCGCTGTGATACGAAATTTAATCACCCTGTCTGCCTCCCATGTCCCCCTTCGCCACCCCTCAACCTACCTATCTGCAGTACATAGGGACCACAGTCTACCCGATAATTTATTCATTTCACCTCGAATCTCTCCGGTGGTTCTACCGTCATTGTAATATTATAGCATGGAGGTTTGTTTTTCACCACGTAACTATTATAATACACAGGTGGTCGAAGTGACCTCAGTACCTAGTACTTACCCAGGTAGCACGACCTATGCAATGGTAGATCGACCTACCGCACACATAGCCGTTGTACAGAGGGACTCACGACGGCACAGCATACCGTTATAACTCTGATAAATAGCTGCACAAACAATTATGCACAATACACGACAAAAACGAAATGGAAAGAAATCAACAAAAACTAGTTCCATTGTTGTTTATTCGCCGTAGATTAGGTTTGGAAATGATAATATTTTGCCCTTAATTCTTTGCGTTAATGCATTTGGGATTAAGGCCCCTATATTTATCAAAATACTACCTGCTTGAAGTACTTTCGAAAAAGGTTCTCGCTTCCTCGACTGGAAGAGTCAAGAGCACATGAAGCTTGACACTTTAGGCATGCGATCGGTTTTATTGCAGCAGCATTGAGTTTAATTTAAATCTAAATTGTAAAGTTTACGTGCTCTTCGCCTTTTACCTGCTTAATATCAAAGTGTGTAAATAAAGCCATTCCATAGCCTATAATTACGTAGTAGTTAGCTTTTGTAGGAAACAATTTAAAATGTAGATAATGGAAATTATTACGTACACTGGCAAGTTATGTTTCTATATGTTTAGTACCTGCGTGTTCTCAGTACCTACCATATCTAGTGAGAGCAGGGATATACATGATTGTAGGTGGTTGAATACAAACATTTCAGAGACGTGTTTGTTATCTTAAACAGAGCAGTATTTTACAGGAAAAAATTAAAACATACGAAAAAAATACTTACTACTATAAAAATAGTAATCAACTAATGAACGATAAAGTTTTTTATGGAAACAACATAATTTTACAAATTACAATTTTATCTTCCTTTCTATTTTGTTTTCGATACCAATAAGCCTTCTAAATGTTTTGTAGTCAGCTACGTAACTTCCTATATGAGTAGAGTACTTTGCGCTTTTTTCCTTATTCTATGTAAATTACAGGATAGAGAGAGACAGCACAGCTCGGCGGGCGCGGTCTCGCTTGCGCCCTCCACGAAAGCCTCCTGAAAATATCTATTGATTATGGTATACGTGCAAGTTGGTACGTATAGCTTGCCACCTCGCCCTGTATTATGTCGAACGAACTCAAACCGCGTGCCAATTTATTTGAAGACTATCGCATGCTAAAGCTACTAAACAAACGTCATAGCGTACGTTCGTTCCGTAGGCTGATGTAAAAATAATAGCAATGATGATTCTTAAAAATAGTTCACCGCGGCCGATTACCTTACGCATCGAACGACGAGCGTAGTTAGTAGATAAATGAGAACGATGCGTCACGCCGTTTTACATGTTTAGTACATCAAAAGTGAGCTTATAATGGTCTATAGCCGCAGTACGTTATAAGCAATTTAAAAATAGATATGCATGTATATCTACATACAGGTCTATGATATAAAGTTGAATATATACAAAGTTTATGTCGGTCGGACCTGTCGAGTTGGCCCAAGTGCTAAAGGTTGTGAACCTGGGTTGCAATGATTCAATCTCCCAAGTTTTGGGTAATAAGGTCCACCGCGCAAAAAGTTATCTTTCTTAACGCAATGGGTACTCATTTATAGTAACCATTGGAATAATTAAATTAATTTGAAAGGATGACTTATAGTTTAAAACAATTATTTAATAATTATCTATGAGTGTACGTAGCAACACACATGTAGTGTTTAATTGAGGTAGTAACTTAACTAGGTTCTTATGCATGTAAGTACCTAGGTACTAAAGAACTAATATTAGCTTATAATAGACACATCCTCGCAAAAGATCTGACTAAGACAAATTAACATCATGATTTCATTTTGGATAAAGTACTTAATTGCACAAAAACCATACTAACCAAGTTAAAATTCATTGAATACAAAAGAAGTTATAAGAAAAATCTTTCTGGGTGTTTCCAAGTCTGACGTTGGTATTATTAAATCCACAAGAAACGGAGCGCGCTTGCGCGGTCCCGCGCGGAGAGTGTGCGGGGAGGGTCGCAAGGCCGGAGCGCAGCAAGCGGGGAGGGGCAACGTCATGTCGAACAACGCATGCGATACCCGACCAAATATAAAAGTCATTCCAAAGCGCTTTTTTGGATATATCGGGCCGATTTTCAATTTAGTCGTTTAGAAACTTGCCTGCGCCGCCCCGAGTCGTCCAACGCGATTACGCGAGGTGGGAACAACGAGAACGGTGTGTAGTAAAAGTGGCCTCTCTCTCTGTACGATTGTGCCGTGGTGATTTTACGTTAAAATATTTCAAATATGTTCTCTTTCGCCGAGAGAATAACAAAGTGACAATATTTCTGGCTTGCTGGAAACATGACAGCAGCCATTTAAAGTAAAGAGCAGCGTTGTCAAAATAAGGCAGAAAATAAATAGTTAAAACACAACGGAGCGTCGGAGTTGTGATAAAGAACCTTATGTGCAGCGTCAGTGAAGTGATGTTTGATAAGCGTGTGTGTAAATTGGACTGCCGAATTGTTGGACGAGATTGTGATTAATCTAGTTTCAAATATGAACTGGTGATGAGAATGTTCTAAGGACCCGGTGAACTGGTACCAGTGAGTGTGGTCCGTCATAGACTGGGTTCTGCAGACACAAGCACACGTATACTGGTGAAGATCGTCGAAACATAGCCTTTTTAAAGAGGTACCGGTTTTGAATTATCATTTTGTTTGATTTATTCTCTCCTGTCGGCGGGTGCAGGTGGCTTGCACTCAAATTTGTTGCTACCTGGTATTAGGTACCTGGAGTCTCATGCATCTGAACTAACAAGATTTCTTTAAAATTTAAGAACAATGACTTTCCAACCAATGATTTACCTAGTAAAAAATATGGAAAATTGGGGTTCAAAGTATTTAGTAAAACATACCTTATTAGAATGTTATTCTTTCCAGGTAACCATGGAGGCGTCCACATCCGAGGATCACCCCCAACATCAGCAGAATATAGCAATGGCTCAAGAAAACATTGATAATCTGAACGTAAATACTTGTAATGGAAAAATTATAGAGCAAATCGAAGAAAATAAAGAACAAGAATCTTTTTCTGTGATAAAAGATGAGAAAAACAGTGATAGTGACGCTAACAGTGAAGATTTTAGTTCTAATGATGATCAAAATAATCTAAATAGTGGAAGCAGCTCTCAGTTATATGAAAGCAGTGACAGTAAAGTAGATTACGCGGTAAAAATAGACGATAATGATACTCTAAGTGATATAGATGACATTAAAACAGACACTGCTTCTGCTGATAGTGAAGATTCAGCACTAGGAAGTCTACCACCAGATACTGCACTTAACGACAGAGAAGAAGAAGTGCAAGATCGATCTGATGGGAGCGATTCGGGCATTGGCTCTGAAACACCTGAAGAGCTGAAATTGCCCAGCTTCAACATTGCTCTCCCATGTTCGAGCGGTTTAGCGAGTGTTCAACAATGTGACTTAACTAAACAAAGTGATATTGAATGTATAAAAAATAACAATGATGCCAAGCAAAAATTCGGCTTAAGTGCTCCAGCTCAAAAAAAGGAACCCTCCAAAAGCAATCTTAAAAGAAAAATAGAAGGTGAGAATAGTGAAGGACCGCAGGGAAAGCGGAAAAAAGAGAATATAAAATTCGATAGTGTTACAGTTTACTACTTTCCAAGAGCTCAAGGATTCTCATGTGTTCCTTCTCAAGGAGGATCTACATTGGGAATGGAATGGGAGCACAGTCATACACAGAAGTTTTCTTTAGTTGAGCATGCAATGGAACAAAGAAGGTTGCACAAACAAATTTTGCAGCAGCTAAAAAGTGAACGGCATACACTGCAAGGGGCAGCATTATCATCGAGTGAAGACAGCGACACCGAAGAAGAAACAAGTGATATTTCAGAATCTGAACTAGACTTGGACAGTTACTACTTTCTACAACCTGTTACTACTCGACAAAGACGAGCTCTACTACGTGCGGCTGGTATTAGAAAAATTGAAGGTTACGAAAAAGACGAATGTAGAGATATAAGAACTTCTCGTGAGTTTTGTGGATGTGCTTGTAAAGGAACTTGCAACCCTGAAAACTGTTCATGTAGTTTGGCAGGCATTAAGTGTCAAGTGGATAGACTAAACTTTCCATGCGGCTGTACAAGAGAAGGATGTAGCAACACCACAGGCCGCATTGAATTTAACCCTGTAAGGGTGAGAACGCATTTTATTCAAACTCTTATGAGAATAGGCCTAGAAAAGAAAAATGAAGAAAATCAGGAAGCTGTAAAAAGACATTGGGCGGCACATAATACAAACACCCAACCGTGTGTTCCGAATTCAACATATGACAGAAATCGATGCTTAGGTCAAAACGAGAGATTGTTACGTGACGTAAATCTTACGCCAAAAGTAGAAGTCGAGTCATGTGTAAATAATGGCAATTTTAATAATATTCACTGTGACATAGCAAACGCAAATATACAAAACATGCAGGATAACATTAGTTACGCTTATAGAAATGAGGCACCAAATCAGAAAAACGCAAATGATAACACCATTATGCGATTTGACGACAACAGTCATCACAACCATACAGAAGCTTATACTTCCAATATATTTCAAGGAAAAGGGCCTCCTTTCAATCCTAATAACTCTATGGCGTTCCAGACTATCTCTGACAATATGCAAAGGTTTAACTACACATATGAGCAGCATTCACAGCACACTGATCACATTCAATACAAGGGACAACAAAGCTACTCAGCGACGAGCTTCGAAGAATTCGCTCATAACTCACAAATGTCCATGTTCAGTCATTATGGACATATATACGTTCCTGACTATCTACACAAACCAAGCCCAAGCATACACGAACATAGCACATTCCACGCTATGCCTCAGAATCATTATGATATGTATAAGAATACTGTAGAAAGTGTAGATACAGAAAATAAGAATGATCCACATTATACTACATTAATGACATTGCCATATCAAAGTAGCAATAAGTTGCAAAGTGTAGAGAACGATGAGAATTGGTTTAGTCAGAACACTCTTATGAGCCTCGATCATGCAGAGCCCTCAATTCACGCCACTCCAGCAGTGCAGGCCGAGTCTGCCGAAACAACAGAAAGCAATGTCTCTGAGGCTACTGAAAACTTTGGTGAACTAATTAAGAAAACTATGGTAGAGTCTGTTATTGTGTAGATAAAATTACTTGTTGTCTTTTAATCGTCTTAATGAACTATCATGTTATTAAGTTTTTGATTATATTAATTGAGAAATTCAAAGTGTTATCTTTCTTCTGAACACAGTTTATTAATAGAGCGATTATAATATTATAAGCAGTTTTCCTGATCTGTAAACTTATAAAATATAGCTAGATTTATCCTTGTTTACATTTGTCGAAAAAAAATATTTATTATAACTTACAAACACATTCTAATTATCTATTCGTGTGCAGCGTAAATACGGTGAGGCCTGTTTATTGTAATGTTTTTATCTCAATAATTCATAGTTCGCCTATATTTAATCAATGCCCTACGACAGCAACATAATTTCATGCCGCTAGGTAAATACTTACCTATGGATTAAAATTTTCCCACTGAAAATGAGTTAAATAAAATAAAAAATAAATGGTAAATATTTCATAACTTTTATTGTCTTTTTGTAGAAATTTCCAACTTAATTAAAATAAACTCTATCAATAAAACGTAATACGGATTGTATATCACAAAAATACCTTAAAAATAAAGTAGGCACGGTAATTCCCTTTTACAAATTGATAGGATTAGTAAAAATAATACTGTACATAAGGAATACTTTTGTCAGGATTTGTGTACCAGTTTCCAGATCTTCATGGATTTGTCCTTGCTCGCCGTCACTAACGTATTCGATGCCTCATCGAAGTAAATACTATGGATTAGATCTGCAACAAATAAAAATACCATAATTAAAACCCAAACAAACCTATCTGATCCAAATGTGTACGCAAATACACCACCCAACTTGCAAAAATGCTTTTTTATTTATTTAAGATATATATAAAACTAAAAGTGTGCTATAAAAGCCCTTAGAAAGGCCAAGTAGGAGTGCAGAAAACTTTTGCTCAAAGCCATTTAAGTACAATTTTTTGTTCTTAAACTGTTGTGAAAATAATAATAATAGACGGAGAAAAATGGTGAAATAAGTGGATTACAAGTAAAAACAAATACTTTTCGCTGTGCAAAAGTAATATAGGTATAATATATTATATTATGTAGATATGGATTGAATGGCAATGTCACAACGCCATTGTTTAGCTAATTAACTATCAATCGGCTCTTTACTTGGATTAAGTTGTTTTTTTTTTTTTGTTGCCATTTTCTAATGACATAGTTGCTATTTCTTTTCGTTGAGAGTCAACTACTAATGAGAGATTAAAAGAAAATAGATCTTGTGTAACAATAAACAAATGTCTTTTTGAAGACAGGGTAAAATGACATTTGTAGTTAGGGTTGCCAGGTTTTATAAAATTTTAAATAGTTACGTAGTTGTTGTCGACAGTTTTATCGATACATTGTGAAAGATAAACTTTTGCCAAAAATGACTGAATTGTGAATGTTCGACGTTCTAAAAATTACTATTTGCGTTATTGCCTTAATTATTCTTATTATTGCAACAAAAATTAAAATTAATTTTAAAATCTATTATTCCAGTCACTACAATAATATCGTATATTTTCTTAAGAAGTTATGGTACGATTATAGTGGTTTACAAAAATGCTATTAAATGATTTAATGGAAGAATTTAAGAAAGATATCGTAAAGTAACTGTAAGATCCACTATAATGCTGCTCTTATGAATTATACATTATACAGGTTGTAAATTTGAGACGGGGCAGTAAGGCCAGCTGCCTTAATCGTTGTAGTTACAGGAAAACGGTTCTAGAAGACTATCCATGAATTTCGAAGATATTTTGATTGACATTCACAGATCTTGAAAAAATGGTGCAGTCAGCAAGATAAAGGCAATTTTTACAAAACTTTTTTTTATGCCATTCGATCCGGTCTCTGTTAAGGATCAATAGTCTCTATGCGAACAACAGTAAGAGTACTCGAAATGTCAGAAATCGCAAAAAACTTTTTATCATACATTTTGTAGGGACATATTTAGTAATCAGTTATTCTAGGTAGTTAAGGAAACTAACAAACTGACAACATATTACATATTATATATTAGTTAAATGAAATTTATAAAAAATACAACAGTGTTCAACAATTGGAAGACGCACTTGCAGCAATTTTCAATGGAATCCGTCCGAGTAAAATTTCAGCCGCTACTTGTTCTTTGCGGAAGAAAGCGAATCGATGCATCCGCCAAGGCGGCAACCAATTCGAGCACTTACTATCATACATTTTTTATATTATTTTGCTTTTTGTTATTGTTTTTATTTTGAAATACATAATACGTTGTCTATTTGTTAGTTTCCTTATTGTTAGTTTCCTTAACCTAGAATTACTAAATATGTCCCTACAAAATGTATGGTAAAAAGTTTTTGTGATATCTGACATTTCGAGTACTCTTACCTCAGTTGGTCCCATAGAGACTATTGATCTTTAACAGAGACCGAATCGAATGGCATAAAAAAAAGTTTTGTAAATATTGCCTTTTATCTTGCTAAGTGTACCATTTTTTCAAAATCTGTGAATGCCAATCAAAATAACTTCAAAATTCATGGATAGTCTTCTAGAACCGTTTTCCTGTAACTACAACGTTTAAGGTGGCTGGCCTTGCTGCCCCGTCTCAAATTTACACCCTGTATATACAGCCCTAACTGGACACGTTTTGTTTTGTATTATTTTTTGACGCCACGATACAAACATGTATAAAAACATCTTGGGGCTTCTCTTTCCATCTCAGAAAACTTTTTTACCAATAAGAAAAGTTTTTCATGACAGATAAGCCAGTCAGTCACCTCTTTGTCTTTAATAAACTTTTTTCCATTCTTGTACTCCATGTTATAAATGTTTTCGCTACCTATCTACACGATATAAAATGTTATGTCCTCGTGCTATAAGATATTAAAAAAGTTTTATTACTACTTATGTAATTGGAATTCCGTAAGGGCTTTTAAAACTATTTTGCGCTGTAAAAGGATCAAAACAACTTTCAATTAAAATTTTATAAAACCTAGTACCTACACAGTTCATCAGTAGCATTTATACGGCTAATATGCGATTCGAATTAAAATGTTGAAAAACAGCTGCTTCTTTTACAGACAGTAAGCATTACCGAATTTCCTTTAGAGCTGTTAGGAAGTACTATAAATAAAAGCGATATACAAAGTGGAATAAACGCTATTTGGCCATGATAATGCGACAAAATAAAAAATGTTACAAATTGAGATAAAGAATAATACTTATAATTTGTTATACAAGGTTGCAAAGTTGTTGTTTGACGCGAGTGCTTTTATTGAAACCTGAGTAAGCAAAGGATCCTAAAATTGAGCCGCTAGGGAGTGGTTCAAAAATAGAATCCTGAACGTAGCGAGGGTTTCAAGTCACGAGACGTAATTTTTATTTAAGTTGTATTCGATTAGCAGCTGAGGGCATTTTCTACTCGACTAATTGGCTAATTAAATACATTAACTGCCTCCGTGGCCGAACGGTTACCATGCCAGACTGCCCGCAGAGGTCCCAGACTCGATTCCCGGCCCGGGAGAAATATTTGTATGTATTTCTCTCGTGAGTTGTCGAAGAGTCGTGGGTGCAATTGTGGTTATCTTTGTGAGTCCATGGCACCGCGACTCAGGGTTTCCCTAGTGCAGGATTATGTTGAGTGTGTGCGTAATTATTATTTGAGTTGACTACGCTGCCCTGCTAATCCGAAAGGCGCTATCTTTGAGATACGCCCTGGTATAATAGAAATAGTGGTATCTAACTTAAAACATTTAAAAAACCACCAAGAAGAATTTTTATATCTCAATTTTTGAAACCTTTATAATCAAAATAGAGGTATTTCACAAAATAGGTATAAAGGTACAATTTATGGATAATTTAGATAAATAAATAAACCTATTAGTCAAAATTACGTATAAATAAGTTTTAACATCTTCAAAAATATGTATTTTAATATGTATTTTTGAAGGTGCGAAAATTCAATTTACAAAAAGATGATTTTCTCAAAACTTACTCCGATTAAGATAGCGCTTTTCGGCTTATCAGGGCAGTACGCAGTAATCAACTAACTGCAACTTTAAGTTTTTGCTACATAATACCAACAAGGCGTTTTGCGCGTTGCGGTCTGACGTACGTTAGGAAACAACTTAGTGTCTACTGAACTTTATAGTGTTATACTAAGGTAGTAGAATCGATGACGGACAGTGCACCAATCACGAACATTTTTGAACTATAACGCCAAAAATAAGGAAACGCGAATTATTTCTTTTCACTTTCAAATTTTTTTATCATTTTTGATCAAAATGGAAGCCATCAGTTAAATTTTGACAGCTGGCGGCCATCTTTATTCCCACATTACCGCGGTGCGAAATAAGACGGTGATAACAAATTTAAAATAAAACAGATTTCTTTTATGGACCGCGCCTCAGGTACCTACGTTTTTCATAATCATATTTAAATGTGATATTTAAGACTGTAGTGATTTCTGTGGTTATTTTGTGTTTTGGTATTGTTTTAAGCATCTAAACAAAACATAACCGTAAAAGAATTACATAACGTCTATTGGAAAATTTGAAGTGTTTATTACTGGATCTCATTTAGCTATTTACCCAATCATGGGACATTTTGTCCATAATCGGATTTTATCAATAAAGAGCTTGACTTGTGTTTACCGTCTTTATAAAGCCAGACTTTTAATTTAGTTTATGGCTTGTTACATTATTTTAAGTCTACACAGTAATGGAAACAGTGTCCGTCACTGATCGTTCATTACTGGATTTGATTTTTTTAGACATGGCTCTGAAGCGAATGACCACCCATTGTTACCAGTCACAAATGGGTCATATGAAACGTCACACCATTCGTTTAAAAATTTTGTTAATTTGGCTAAATAGTTGATCGTTCATGTTCAGGTGTCCATGTTTGGAAACCGTCCATGACGGGGTGTCCATAATTGAAAACTGTCCATATTTGGAAATTGGGCTGGCCATATAAGGATACTCTAACAGGGTCTACTTTTTTCTCGAATAACAATGTTTTCGTTATTAATTGATATGAGTAAAGCACTTTCAATCGTTATTTGAAGACCTTTTAATCAATTAAACCATTTCTCGAGTTCCACAGGATAACTCATCCGAAATTAAAAGACTAAAACAAAAAAATAATCCTTAAACCGTCCATGATTGGTTCCACTACCTCACCTACGTACATCGTATTTGGAAAAAAAACACCACTCTACCCCTACTGATAGTATGTAGGTACGCGACAACTCATTGTCAACTGTAGAGCTTTATAACGATCTCAGCGGTCGAACTAACCAAAAATATTGAATGTTTTCGTAATACGATAGATACACAAAACAACACGCGGCAAATGGTGGTGGTGGACATTAAAAAAAGTCAATAAATTCAAAGGCGTAATTAGCACATTTCAAAGATATAATTGGTATCCTAAGCACCACTGAACCTAGCCTGGTATTACCCAAAGCATTATTAAATATGCGAATATATTTGCAACCGACTTCAAAAAAGAAGGAGGTTTTCAATTGAACTGTAATTTTTCTTTTGTCTATATTACGTGATGATTACTCCAATATTTGTGAACCGCTTTCGACGATTGTTTTTTTGATGGCAGTAAGTGGGGCCCCATTCAAATTTGAAGAAAATATTCCACCTCCAACGGTGGCAAATTAGAGGATGAATTCGGTTTATTAGATTTCACCCACGTTCCGTTAACTGATATCAATAAAACTTGGCAAATAGATGTAATTCCACAAACTTTTGCGGTCTTTTTTTATAAAAAATTTATAATTACATACTAAATTAATTCTAAAGACAAACAGCTGGCTTGCATATCTAAATGAGCAAAAATAAAGAGCGTTAACAAATGAGCCAATTAAATATTCATCTCAGATAAAAGCAAAACTTATTTATACTTCAGACTCGTAACGGGATGTTTTCTATAATTGGCATAGAAAAGAGCAACGCCTAGAGTTTCTTGTTCCACGCCTGGGGAAACTATTTTCCAAAATATGTTAAAAACACAACGATTTCAAATGTAAGTTGCTTGCCTGAACACGACAATTTCAAAGATAAGTAGCTTATCTGAACACGACGATTTCAAGGATAAGTAGCTTACATATGAGTGTAAGTAGGAATATGATATAACTGACCTTTATGTGCGTCTTCCTGCCCGACCTGCGTGACTGTGACCATGTTCCATTGCAGTAGAGTGCCCTTACTGCCGCCGAGCCACAACAAGCTGTGCCCGTCCCAACACAGCGAGGCCGCTGGTTCTAATAACTGCTTTTGATACACCTATGCAAATGATGTCCGTGTTATGGCATAAAATTAAAACAAAGACCGCTAAACATGTAATTTATGATATTTTTTAAACAAAACACAAACTGTTCTATAACAAGTAAAGTAAAATTATTTTAATTTGTAATGTTGGCACATGCTTCGGTACAGTTTATGACTTCTAATTAACCCATACGCAAAGAGGGGAGTTATAAATTTGAAGCCTATGTCTGTCTGTGGCATCGTAGCTCTCAAGCGAAAGGACTGACTTTAAGGCTTTTTTGTAGCCAACTTCAAAAAAAGAGGAGGTTCTCAATCCGACTATATTTTGTTGCATGTGTTGTTGCGATTATTTATTTATTTATTTATTTATTTTCATGCAAGTCACATTTGTACATACAATATTGACTGTAAGGGTATGGCACTTAGTCGCAACACCCTATTACTATACATTACATTTACAATTTTAGTATCGTCAAGTACACAACCATTACTCCGGCATTTGTGGACTGATTTTGATGATTCTTTTCTTAGTGGTAAGAGAGTACCTCAGTTTTGGTCCCACTTGAAGGGTGGCAAAATAGGGGATGAATCCGGTTTCGCGCACTTTTGCAGTAACAGATTTCAATAAAACTTGGTAAATGGATGTAATTTCGAAGTCGATTTCTTTTATAAAAAAGTCATAATTAATTTGTATGCTAATTTAATCGCTGTGAAGATTCAGCTGTTTTCCCAGTTAATTTTGGGATATGTCAGAAAATGAATATTTATTCTACTTCCACGTGTCCGATCGACGTGAAAGTTATAGGTACTATGGAAATACGATGACATTGATTGGTATTGGTAACTTTGATCTGATGCTGCAACCAAGACAGTCTGCTGACTACCAAACTCAACTACTTACAGTAGAACTATCGTATTTGGGCTCGTTAAATTGGTATCGGCTAGTACTTAGTTACCCTTACCCTTATATACCCTTTTGTGTCCGGGGTTTTTAAATTTTAATTTAAGTATAACATTATATATCGATGCCTAACTTTGTCAAACTCGTATCTTATAAAGAGTGATTATTGAGGAGATGGTAAAACTTTATATTTATTTTAAATTTCTTGTCAAGGGTGTTTTGGATGCATTACTTTAAGTAGAGTATACACTCGCTTTTGCCTATCTTAAAAAACACTGGGTCACAAAACACACGGGTTGTCGCTACCCTTCTTTTAGGAATCGTGTTTTCACATCGTACACTAATCAGTGTATATCCTCAATATTACTATGGGTATATTTTTTCCAATGATTGATTAAAGACTCACTGTTATGCGGAATCAACCAAAGCCATTTTCACACGAATATGAAATAAATGTGATGTGAAATCAGCCTGCAAAATTTACAGATACAATCCATTTTTTTGCATTTCAGTAACTTTGTGCTTTAAGATACGAGTTTGTGAAAGTAAGGCGACGATATAACATTCGCATTTCTTAGTAGTACATAATAGTACATTGTGTATTAAGGGCGGTAAATAAGGAATTACAAACAAGACTCCATTAGAAGCCCGAAGTCGAAGACTGATGGCTTTTGGAGTCGAGTTCGCAATTCCCGTACCGCCCGTGAAACATACAATATTTTTCATCAGTCATCACGCTTGCACGTAAATAGTATGATTGCATGCAAGCTAACTTGACTATAATGCCCCAAATAAAAGCCTCGGGACTTTTTCTTCTGATTACAGCCGTGGTCATGTAATGAGAATAAAAAGGCACGACGTTTTATTTGGGGCAGTATGGTCAAATTAGCATGCATGCAATAATACTATTTACGGGCATGTGTGATGAAAAATTACAAAATATATAAGAACTTACATGTAACTAATAACGGGTCATGCTAACGCTAGTAACCTATATGTCATAGCTCATATCGTAATACATTAAAAGCAATCAATAAATGTAAATAGGTAACACTGTTAACTGTACCTTATAATATTTAAGTAAATGTGCCTTGCAAAAGGTCGCTCTATACTATACAAATAGGTACGTTCGATAAGATTGGTGGTATCACCGACACTATCGAATAGGTACCATAAGATATGCTCTCTTTGAAACTATGAACAATGTCGTTTTGTAAATTTTTGAAACGTCTCTATATACAGAACAAATAAGATTTAAATTTTCATTATCAACGTGTACAATAGTTCTACAATTATTATTGATTTAGTTTGTACAGCGAAACTCCTTTGTTTGAGAATTCAAGCTTAGCAATCATTGACTTATTTGTAAGTCAATGTTAGCAATGCTCAAATAAACAAATCCCGCGCGAGCATGTTTTCTTGTCTACAGACTATGCGATGTGTTAGTCGCAGTATAGAGCTTCTTGTGAAAGAGTTCTTCCAAGGAAGTACTGCCACCTTACCAATTTTGTCCGCCAAGCAGTAATGTGATCCTTACTGTGGTTCGGTTTTGAAAGGTGTTGACGAAATTATTGGCGCTTTGAACTTTTTTTTTTCGAGGTTTGCGATTTAAAGCTCTGAGCGACACTGCAATTGTTATGGACAGGCGTGTCGCTTACCACCAGGCGCATCACTCGTTCGTCCAGTCACATGGTATCATAATAATAATAAAAAAGTTGCATTTATATGAAATAACAAAAATATCGCACTATTAATACAATAGTGTATTAACTCAAAAAGTGTATTTTTTCAGAATCGATGAAAAACGAAATACTCGCTTCCGAAATATTATTAAAATTTATGTATAGGTTAAAGTTCATTTATTACAGACATTTAAACTATTCCTTGATATGTTTAAAATTCCTTAATGTAAAAATAACTTAATATGTTTTAGAAACTTATTTATTAAGACTGTTTAATCCACAACTAGTTCGCAAAAAGTTTGTCTCTTTCTGAGTTAAGTAGATTTTGTTTTAATTGTTACTTTTACAATATTTCAATGTCGGTTTTACTGACGTGTACAGAATCAAATTTTCGCACATTTTGAGTTACAACACTATTGTAATAGCAGTGCGATATGTACGCGACTTTAGACACAGAAAAAATCCAGTAGATTAACGGTTAGGAGAATACTTTGTGTTCATTGTTAGAGACGTAGCATTGTTTTTATTTCCCTATCAGGGTAATCGGGTAAAATAAGCAGGTACATAAAATTCTCCAAAATCGGCCAGTGTAAAGTGAACTCTGACAGACGCCTGCTTAAAAGTAAACTATCTGCTACAATCAAAATTATCTCAATTGTGTGTTGTTCTTAATTGTTCCTAATTATTTTAACATTTGATTTAAGAAGTGTCAACCATAAGAAGTTAATCCTAGCGACATACCTGCCCACAATTTCAATTTCGGCATAGATAAATAGTATATCTCCGAGTGAAAGCAATTACAATACCAAAATTACGCGACTGGATTTCGACAGATGTGGTGCTTCCTTAACTTGCACTTTTGATTGAAACTTAAATCCATATGAAAACCATGGAAAGTGCACCGTTAACTCATTGGCATAATGTTATTTTCACTTTGAACACATTCATTTGTACACTAACTGTACCGCACAGCCACACATTAAAGATCACAATTTAACACTTTTCTATAATGGGAATTCAAATAACGTAAGAGAGACATCAATTTTTCAATAGACCATTTTGAAATTGCTATAAGAAAAAAATATAATAATTGAAGCTTCAATCGCATTGCATTGTTTGCATTTTTTATAAATGGTCCTTATATAAGCTCGAGATCACGCACGATCAGCAGATGTATCTAGGTATATATAGAAGTAGTATTTGCTCGGAGGTCCAAGCCCGCCCACCAGCCGCGCAATGGTCATTCCAGCCAAACAAATTTACCTGAATACCTATTACAAAAGGTCTTTGGTCTCTTCTGACCTAATTAGAAAAAGCATTGATGAAAACTAAGTTATGTATTTGTAAAATACTAACAACCTCGCGAAATTATATTACTAATATCGTAAACAAATTTTGCTCTATAATTTTAAATAATTGGCCGTTTATTCATCATATTTTACCTTTGGTACAAAAGTTATAAATATATTGGTACAAATATTTAAAAACTCAGTTCTAAGATTTTCGCGATTGTTAATCACAGTAAATGAAACAATTTTTTTCGTTATTAAGTTATTTTAGTGTAATAAAAAATCGTATTGTTAAACTGAAATAATTTTTAAACATAGTTGTTTGGAAAATTAAAAATAAGGTATTTATATATAAGTTTAGAATGAAAAATAGAGTGGTTTGCATTAATATTAGATATAACTGGTTAAAAACTTTACCATCTCAGTCAGCAGCAATGACCATAAGCTTTGTAAAGTGCCCGAAACGTTGGTTTGTTTGAAAAAACAAATATAAACGATTATGATCTGAAAAACAGTTTAATTATCTAAATAGATTGTTCCAAACGGTGATAACTCTGTGCGGTAACAAAAGAAGCGCTAGCGGTAAATTCCAGTCCGATGCAAAACACGCGAGCGGGGTGGGGATCGTCAGACGAAAAGTGTCAGACAGTATAAAAAATTTAAGTTTAGTCTTATTTTTGGTAAAATTAGTATGTTTTGTAAAAAGACATGGAACAAAAAGAAGTTTTTTTTTAGCCCCGCACTAGGGAAACCCTGTATCACGAGTACCATGGACACACACATAAACAACCACAAATTACACCCAAACCGCCGAAAGAAATAAATGTAGGCCATACAAATATTTCTCCCGACCCGGGAATCTAACCCAGGGCCTCTGCGTGGCAGTCCAGCGTGATAACCGTTGCACGGAGGCAGTTGTTTATGATATTAGAAAAGTGTGAGATTGTTGGTATTTTACAACCCTGTTATACTAATAGATTATACGTATGTGTTGGCTACTTAAACTTCAATTTCAATCAAAAAGACGGTTTCTGTAGTCGATTGCACATATATTAGGTATATTTATTTATATCTGTTAGGCTGCTAACAGATGGACTGCATGCCTGCAATCGTTACGTCTGTATGCAGTTGTTTATATCGCGCAAGCAAGTCATCTGGTAGCAGCTGTAGTTACATCAGGAGGCGTTTGTAAATGTATAATAATAATTATTTTTTATTTTTTACGTTATATATATAAGACCGTGTACGAATACGTGCTAATTAGTAAGACAAAACGGTTTATCACTCAGTGGTCGCGGAGAACCCACGGCTTCTGTTATTTTACCATAATCCTGTAATTGCAATTAAAATATTTAATTACAATAAAGTATTGTATTTAAATATTTTGTTTTACGAAATCGAGACAGCATAATTAATTAACCATATCAGTATTGGATTGATATTTTCCAAGCGCAAGAGCTTGCTGTTGTGTAAGTAGTAAGTAGCCATTCGCGACAATATTTACGAAAAGTTGAAAGTAACCTAGTTAGGTTACTTTCAACTTTTCGTTGATAAGGTTATGTTATCCGTAAAATTCAATTAAATCAGATTCAATTAAATAAAAAAATAGGTTAGTTAACCTATCCGTAAGATTTAATTGAATTTTACGGATAACATAACCTTATCACCACAGCTCAAATGCGACAATACCACATTACACAACACCTACCAAGGGCGTCTCTTCCTTCAGATAGGGTCTAATATTACAGAGTTTTTAAAGATGCAAAACATTATACTACTTTATTACGAATATGTTGTTCCAACCTTCCTCGTCCTTACCAAGCCCCATGTTACGTATACATCCCTCACTTGAGACATAATGGTTTTTCAGATCGACTCAAGCCGATCCCGCGTTAATATATGCGGTGACATCCTAAGTTTAAAAAATAATAAATTACATCTTCAAATAACGCACTCACCGAATGCAATACGCTAAGATCAGTAACAATCATGTTGCCATCCTCACTGATGGTGGCCACGCGGTCTCCCGACAGCACAAATCCCACGCCGCATAACGGTGACGAGTGAACACATACTTTGTTCATCAAATCTCTGGTGGTAAAGTCCCAGAAGAACACTTCGCCGTCTGATGTGCCCGTTATTACATCTATCTCGTGGCGACGACGTCTAATTGAAACAATAGATATAACAAACAAATTTGTCCCAAATCTATAAGTCTTTACGAATTATACAGCGTTAATTGTAAAATACTAAAAACAACTATTGTTGCACGACTTTTATGAACGAATAATTCATCCAATGTTTACTTACATACAAAAATAAAAATAGGTCGCTCTAAGTCTAAACCATGATAACTTTGTGCTTTGTGCGGAAGAAAGTGGGAGACGTCGAGGAGGACGCTCGCACACACATAATTTGAACTTACCACCAAATACAGATCTCAAAAGTGTAAGATAGTAAACAAAAACTTGAAAGTTTATTTTTGGTTTTTCAATTTATTACGTTTTGTAAAAAGTCATGGAACAAAAGTTGTTATTTATAAAGTTAGTAATATAAGATTAATAAGACAAGTATGGTAACTCCATAACATATAAACGTAGCAGCGCGGTTTGCCCCCAAACATGCCGTGTTCGGATACGCACATTCGCATAATTTAGCGATATACTCGCGTTGCATGGCACTGGACGTCCCAACGCGCCATTCAATATTTTGCGAATGTGTGCGTATGTACACGGTGCTCGGCAGTCGCACAGACATACAAGCTGGTACTTTGTACGGAGTTACCATAATGCCCTCATTTTACTATGGTAATACAGTCCTGCGAGGTTAGTATTTTACAAATAACCCTGTATAATGAAATCGTAACCTTGGTGGGATAAAGCCACACGTGATGATACGACAAAACTGCTTTTATCTCGCGTGAGTCTTAAAAATAATACGAACTACATGAAAAATTTTTTTTATATGTGACCTGACGTTAAAAAGAAAGTGGAATCGAAACGTGAAGGAACCTAGTGCAGTGTTGATATGAACACTGCCCTAGCCTCCTCCACTTCTACCTACAAGACGCCTACAAGACGCCTCTTCACGCCTCGTTTGAAAGCCCATATCATAGAAAGAAGGGATTGCATTCGCTGGAAGGTAGTTCCATTTATCGATTGTGTTATGACAGTTTGACAACTGGACATTGGCAATGATTTTTATTGATTTTTTTAAATATTATTTTTACAATATATTCATAATTACTAAGCGGAAAACTCTTTTTTTAATTTTTCAGCCGCTAATGCGGGCAGAAGGCCTCCCTTCCTCCTGTCCACTCATCGCGACTTAACGCCGCTAGAGGCCAAGATCTGATATAAGAATGGGTCTTGGCAAATCCTAAAAGGGCGACGTCTATAAGCTAAAAGAAGAAGACTATGTTACAGATCACAGAGACAGGTTACCAAACAATTTAGTTTGCAGTGGACTACGGCAAGTTGTAAAAGTGTGACTATGGAGGCCAGCACCCGGGCTTCGGGGCAAGAAAGGGGAAGAAGGTGGGATGAAGTTAAATAATTCGTTAGAGCACTAGCCATTCGATAAGAGGCGCAATGCGAAATAGTACGTATACGTGTAATTTTATCTATCCTATTTAAGCATAAAAAAGTTATCCATTAATTTCGTTCACAGAATCTTCAAACCACTCTCCTAAAAAATTGTCGTTTTGCAGACATGGCCTTATTACACCAAGAGTCGGAAATTTCGTAACGTAAACGAACTTTTTTAACTGAAAAACGTTAAGATCAAAATCTTTCACAAATTATGAAGCATAATGAAATTCTATTCAAAATCATATCGCCCACAGACAACGCGGTAGAGTCTAGGTAAGTTCGCCTTTGCCATTTAGTTCTGTATCGCGTGCAAGCTTAACCTTGTGTGCTTGATGTCCTTGGAAATAGGAATGCTGCTTACTTGTGTAGTAGGCACATTATTTGAAAATTGATCTGGTATTTTTGTAAAAACCTTCGAATCGGACTAAGAATATACCTGTAGTTAACGGCGGTGATATTTCCATCATGATCGAATTCCGCCTTAAGGCCTCGAAGAGCCTGGCCAGTGCGGCCCACGTTACCCCACACACGTACCACGCCGTCCCAACCGCCAGATATCAACAACCGTTCTAGAAACACACCTTATGTAGAAGCCATTCAAGATAGAAAATTAATAAGAAATTATCTCATTTTCTAAAGAGAATACCTTTTTGAAGCCATAACAAACAACTGACAGAATCATCGTGAGCTCGGAAGCTTTCCACTATTTTCCCGTACTCTACATCATAGAGGTGTCTGAAAAATGAAAAATTAATAAATGTGACTGCTAGAAATATTATTAATTACCCAGAAAGCACGCCTTACATTTCGTTGCCCCAAGAACCAGCGGCAACAATATTTTCATCGACCATTACGCAAGAACTGAGAGGCGTATCGCACAATATGATGCTCCGTATTTGCTTTCTCTGCTCTGCATCGTATACTTTCAACATCCCATCCTTGCCTACGGAAATAATTTTATCTCCTTGTCGCAAAACGCAGGTCACGGCATCTTTATGTAAACATATTGTATCTATGCATTCTAATTTGTACAGCAACGGGTCTTCTAAATTGGACGTAGGCCGGGGAATGTGATGTGCGATTTTTCTAACGTGCGGCTTGGTGAAAAGCTGCTTTGGCACTTGGCCAAATTCCATTATTTGCACTTCTAATGCGTGCCTGTCGTTCATGTCGGATATAAGCTCTAGATCGACCGAGCCCTCGTAGCACACGTGGTGAAATACTGAAAGTAATTGTTTATAAACTAATAACATCGTATAATAAGACAAGTACAGTAACTCCATACAAACGTAGCAGCGCAGCTTGTATGTGTGCACGTCCGCCGCGTGCCATGTACGGACGCACACATTCGCATAATAATTACAAGCGCGTGGCAACCAACCAACGCCATGCAACGCGAGTGCATCGAGAGATAATGCGAATGTGTATGTCCGCACTACAATATAATAACGCATTCAGGGTGCTGATGGGGCTGCCGTGGAGATGTAGTGCATCAGAGATGTTTGTCAAGGCTCAGGCAGATGGTTTCATGGCCCTCGTGAGAAAAAGGTGTGGATCTGCGCCGGGGCGCCTCCGCGGGGGCTCCAACAGCAACCTGTATGTGTTCACAGATCGGTGGGACTCGCCACTCCTGCGGAGATGGATTCACCTCCATACTACCGTCCGCTAAGTGCGCGGCTAAGTGGCAAATTATTTTTTTGAGATACCATAAAAAACCATAACCCAGTTTTAGAAAACTGAAATTTTTTAATGATATTTAAGCTATGCATCGTTAGGGTAAATGTCTATAAGTAGAACACGTTAACTAATTTAAACTGTTTTTTAAAGAGAATTTTGAGCACTATCTTTTGCTGTATAAAAAGGATATTTGACCATTTTTCACGTAGCCGCGTTTTAGTTAGTGGACGGCAACATACCGTCATATAATTGTATAGTTGTATTGTCACTTTAAATTTAATAATATAAATCTAATACTAGATCATAAGTTATTTTGTTTACTAACATTATATCGACTTTTATTTGTGTAATAAATGTTTATGAATTTGAATTATACTACGCTATAGTTTAGGACTCAAAATATTGAAATGTCTACAAACTTAACAGAACACTAAGAAGTCAATATACACAGTAATTTATTAACTGCTTATTTGAATGCATGTATAGAATTAATTACACCATTTAACACAATTCAAATTCTAATTGGTTCTAGCATAAAAACATTAAAAAACTTAATTTCCCAGCAAAACTTTGCTTTCGTCGTCAGGACAACGAAAAATTTAAATTTGCGTACCATACAGAAAACGTAAAGATTTTTGGCTTTCTTTTTATACTTTTTATAGACAAAAAGGGAACATTTTATTTAAAATTTATAATCAATGTATATTTCAACCAAAATTCAACAAATTGATGAACAGAGAACCTGGAAATGTATATAACACAGAAAAGGATGAAAGCACCATTTCGAATATTTTTCAGGGGAGTATGTTTTAGTTTTTCACGACTGTTCGAAAATATAATCACGTATAAATAAATAAAATAAATAAATAAATAAATAAGTATTGTTTTAAATAAAATTTTAAAATATAAACTTAATTAAAGCCAAAATCGAATTTTAAAACAATATGTAAATATTTTAAAACAGTCGTTAAAACCTAAAACATGGTCTCCTGAAAAAAGTTTCAAAATAGCGCTTTCGCCCTTTGTAGGTACAAAACACCGACAATGTAAACACTACGTAGCTATGTAAATAGGTAGTTACGTAAATACCATTGTAACTGCAAAGCAAAGTTTCAGAGGTATAGCTACTCTTTTCTACATATTTATGGCTCAATTAAACAGAAGACAATATTGTCAAACCAGAAAGAGAACCTTTTTGAAAATTTGTGACATAGTATTATGATCAACACTTTGTCCACAAAAATTTCGACATTTATATATATATTTTTTTTTTTCATAATATCAAGTGAAGGGACGAGCACAACGTGCGCCTGATCGTAAGCTACACGCCTGTCCATAACAGTTGCAGTGCCATTCAGAGCTTTAAATTACAAAGGTCTGACGGGCACTGCCACTGCGTCCGTCACCTTGAGATACAAGTTGACAAGTCCCATGTGCGTGTAATTTCACCAGCACCCTTACCCTTTGAAACCGGAACACTGTAATGCTAACATTACTGTTTGGCGTCAGAAATAGGTAAGGTGGCTGTACTATCCTGGACGAACTCTTTCACAAGGAGCTCTACTGCTACTAAATATATCTTTTAATTAAGCCCTTACTACCAACCATTGTTAGCTTTAACTGCTTCTTCGCCTCTTTGTTTGTATCCAAAAATAAGGTCTATCCACAAATGCAAATGTCGAGAAACATATTCCGACTCTAAAGCCTCCCTAAGCTTGAGTACGAAGTCTTCAGGTGAATTAGCCCACGGTGGCAGTGCCACATTGTTCACTTTCGTACCGTCATGACGTTCACCAAAATTTATTTCGTATTTGTTTACTAAGAAATCACCTTTTGTCTCTGTATCGTAAAATTCTGGAACCAGTTCCTGAAAAATATATAGCCATTAATTTTTTCAGTCACCATTAACCCTTTTACATATCACACAGCTGGGCACGGGTCTTTTTTATGATAGTAAGTGATGGTGGAAGGTGACGAACAAGTCATGCGCCTGATGGTAAACGACACGCCTGTCCATAACAGTTGCAGTGCCACTCCGAGCTTTAAATCACAAAGATCCGAGATGCACTGCCTCTACGCCCATTACCCTGTGACATAAGTTGATAAGTCCCATGTGCCTGTAATTTCACCAGGGTGTTCTCACAGCTGAGGGTTCAGGCCATAGTCCGGCACGCTGGCCCAATTCGGGTTAGGGTCTTCACACTTTTTTCGAGAGTTGTGAACCTTCTTCAACGTACATGTTTCATCACGAAGTTTTTCCTTCAGAGAAAAGCTCATAGTAAATTTCAAATAAAATTTCGCACATAAACTCAGAAGTGCGAGCCTGCTTCAGAGGCGGTTTTAATTACGTTATAACTATTAATTACGTTGAAGATATAAATAAATGTTAGACAACCTCACATAACGTTGCTCTGATCCCAAAGTAAGTAACTAAAGCACTCATGTTATGACAATCCAAAACAAGGACGGTACCACAAACATCCAGAAACCCGAGACAATACCGAAAAGCTTTTCTACGTTAATCGAACCCGGGAGGTCGTCAAAGATGTGATAAATAAACCAATGAATATAACTGAAAGAGTACATACCTTAAAATCTGACATATTTTTTAAGCAATTATTGTAAACATCTTTGATCGAATTAAACATTCTATCTGGATGATCAAACCTTCCGTTTAGTAAACACAACAGATATTGAGGATATTTCCGAACCTGCAAGATAATATAAATTAAGCAAGTATGCAAACTTTTTTAAAGTACATCACGGGTCATTGCAATAACAGGGGTACGCAATAAAATTGCAGTTCAATGTAGGAGAATTCGTACAAAGAATAGGTTCGAAAATATTAATTACTTAATCAAAATATGCACCCATGCTATGGATTAGTGTTGTCCAAAATCAGTCTTGGTGTTGGTCTTGCATTTTTGTAACACAAAAGACCATTTCTTTTCCTAGGGAAATCCTCCTGAGATACCTCTACGCGGCGGGGCAACGGCGAGGTTATGCCAGACTTTTCCCGGCTACAAACCCATAGTGGCCTTCTCGGGTGCTCTAGTGGGAGGGATCTGGGATCGACTTGTGCAACGGAGTAGCCAGGTTCTCTCCCTCCTACTCACGACAAAGCGGGCTACAACGCCCCGTAGTCCTCCTCGCGGCTGTCAAACTTACTGGTGAACGTAGCCCCCGCTTTGATCGCCCGCCGCCACGCAGGTACATCGCCGCTGAGCGCGATCGACCCTCTTCCGATCACGCTCGGCGACTTATAAACTCGAAAATTGTATCGATGATTAAATTTGGAAGTAAGTTTTTTTTACTGACGTAAAATAATGATAAAAGTGTAGCAAATAACAAAAAACACTAGCGAAGTTAGCGTATTATCAACAACAACATACACCGAAATTCATGAAACTAACGACTCTCGGCGCTCCTTCGAGCGGGGTCATTCCATGTATTTATAACATACTCTTTTTAAATAAACAATAGTAAACAATTTTATGCCTAAAAACATTGACTTACAAATAAATGGACGACGGGTCTAATACAAAAACTACGAAAAAAATGTCCCAAGTCAGCCTATTTAAACGTAGTGACATGTAAAGGAATATGAAAAAGCAAAAACGTTGAATTTAAATTGTAATGTCATCGCAGTACTGTCTAATTTTGCTTGCTTCGCTGTCAGTCGAACAAACGAAGACTAAAGCGTGAATGACGCTCTGTATACGATTTTAACGCTCTATAAGTTCGGACACTTTTTAGCGCGGACCCGACGTCCATATAATTCTAAGTCAATGCCTAAAAATAGTAACCAACCAACATTATCGTAAAAATATTGTAACAATGTGTACTCAAAATGTACCTACTCTGTTACGTTGTTCTAAAATCTAAACCAGTCCACATTGCCACTTTTTGTAAGAAAAACAGAATAGGATAGCTTAATAATTAGCAATAGATAATTACAAGACTTCCGAGACTCTTAAAACAAGACCGGAACCAAAACCGAAACCACAGTGTGCAATACCAAGACCAAGAGCAGGTATACTGACGCGATGGGTTGGTCTCGTCTTCGTCTTCCATTGGACAACACTACTATCAATACACTTCTTCCATCTTACTGGAAGATCATTTATTTATTTGTAGTAAAAAATCGTGGAGAAAGGGAACCCACTAAACTTTGTAAGCACCTTTCGACTGCTTCATGGAAACGAATTTGTTGTAGATCTCAACTGCGAAAAATTAGGAGTCCATTCAGATGAGCATGGAGAATGTCAAGGAGCCTTAATCGGCAATTTTTAGCTTTAGGCGGCATGGTTTGTTCGGTAGTATGCACTCTGGCATTATTGTATAGAACTAGCTACGAATGTCAGATGACTATCAGCAATAGTGTCTCTGAGTCGCGCTATCATTACTTTAGAAGAATTACTAACGAAATACTTACCAGATAAAACAGTACCAAACCAGGTGCAGAATAATGCGATCCGTACAAAAATTTGATGTCATTCATTTCGTGATACCTCTCCTTCAGTTTCTCTAGCCTATCAGGATTTAAAGCTCCCATTGGCTTGGATAAATCTCTAAAGGTATCGGTGTTACTCAAATCCAATTTGTCAGATGTGTAGTCAGCCACTACCCACGGGAACACGGGATATTGCGTGAGATCATTTTTGCTTCTGTCTGCCAGGCTGTCGAGTAAAAAATTAAATTCACCTATTTACATTTTCGAAATAAATTATTAAAGCAACAGTAATTACTATTTGCTTCGTCTATTAATAGTAACAACAATTTTTCATACTTGGGGCGCACTATAAGTTTCCGGAATGAATAAGAAAAATATACTATAAATGGTCAGAAATGAATTTATTGTTTCTCAAAATATTCTCCGTTAGCGTTAATGCACTTTTTCATACGAATGAACCAATTTTGAAAACATTTATGCTACTCCTCTGTGACAATCTCTGAAACATATTTTTCATACTCTTCGACGGCCTCTTCAGGTGATGAAAATGGTTGACCGCGTAACTGGTTCTTAATTTTCATAAACAAGGTGCCAGGTCGGGACTGTAGGCGGGATGGCTCATAAGGTCAACGTTGTTCACCATCAAAAATTCATTTGTCTGTCTGGCCGTGTGAGAACTGGCATTATCGTGGTGCAAGATGATACGGCGTTTACGGTTATTTTTACGGAGTTTGTCAATAACTTTCGGCAAACAAATGATCGTGTACTAATCACTATTCACGGTACAATGATTCTCCAAAGCAACAGTAGCCACGTGTTCAGTTTTATTAAAAAAGAAGCTATCATCTGTTTAGAGGTACTTTGCACACTTTGATTGATCTCAGCTCATCTCGAAAGACCCATACGCTCGATTGCTGCTTTGTTTTGGGATCGTAACTATAAATTTGACCAACACCAAAGTTGACGCCCCTTCGTTGAATCTGGTAAGCATGGCATTGCACCAAGTTACGCGATCCGTTTTTTGAGCCTGAGTCAAATTGTGTGGGATCCACCGAGAGCATAGCTTTTACATACCCAAATGTTGGTGTAGTATTGATTGTATTTGACTCATGCCTAAACCTAAAGATGCCCGAATCTCATGGTATGTCACATGCCTGCCTGGTTTGATCATACGGCGCACAGCATCGATGTTTATGTCGTTCACAGCAGTGGACTTGCGACCATCACGAAATTCGTCACTGAAATTCACACGACCGCGTTTCAATTCTACACACCAGCTATAAATAGTCGTCCTGCATGGTCCTTCATCGCCAAAAGCAGTTTAAAGCAGTTTGAAGCCGAGCGAAGCTCCGCTGAGCTATTACATTACACTTAGGGTCGTATTCCAGAAATCTACTCAATGTTCAGTCAGAACTTGAGTATGATATAAAACACTAGAAATCATACTCAAGTCCTTGCCATTAGGGTCGTATTTCCAGTGCTTGAAATCATACTTAAATCCTGACTTGAGCATTGAGTAAAGTTCTGGAATACAAGCCTTTAAGTCGTAGAAAATCATACCATGAACATTTTCACGAGTTAAATCCATGGTTATGGTGGGAAATTGGTTGTCTACATAGACAACCAATTTCTAAAATGACGCCACAATGTAAAATCAAGAGACAGTCAGGTGAAACAAACTGTATTCTAAAGTTCCATTTTCAAATGTTGTAATTTCTTTTTAAATATTGTTTATTTAAGTGGCCAGTTCTGGAAACTCATAGTGCGGCCTATGTAGTATTCATATCTGTTTATGTATAATAATAACGCACACACTCAACATAGCCCCGCACTAGGGAAACCCTGTGTCGTGTGTGGCATGAACACATACATAGATAACCACAAATTACAACCAAAACCACGAGAGAAATAAATGTAGGCCATAGAAATATTTCTCCCGCCTTCGATTTCAGAGGTCCTCCTCTGTGTGGCAGTCTGGCATGGTACTGGTTAACTGAGACACTATAAGGAAATGTCTTAACATCCATTACTGTTTTTTTGTGCAAATAATTTTGACATAGTCAATTGTTGGTCATGTGTGTGTCAATCTTAAAAATTAATAATATTGACCTTTTTAATGAAGATTAACTCGGTTTCTTGTAAGGATAATTTCACTGATCGGAAGAATCACATGTTGTAGTTGCTAACATAATGTATTTAGTGATTAATGTGTTTTCTTAAATTCCTCAGAAAACTAATAGAAACTTATTATGATTATGTAACTTTAAAGTAATAATTATGAGATAAGTACTCGGCCCCAAAAGTACCCTTCATTTTTTGTCAATTTATATTGATTGTTAGCACCCTACATAAACTGATAATGGTATTGATAAAGACTTGTTTGTAAATTTTATAAAGGATAAACCCTCATCAATACCATAATCACTTTGTCTGAGGTATGGAACTGAAAATACCACCTACCAGTTGAGATATATCAAATAATCATAATTAGATACAACTCCATTTTGCCATTGCAGTGTCATCTCTTCAGCATGTACTTTTTGAAGCTGAACATTTGGTGATTCCTCCAATATTCTATAGGTTTTATCCCTATCCTCCTCACATTGGAATGTCAAGTATATATGAGGTACTGTACTCTCTTCTGTGCTGTAGATCTCAAGGCCCTGAAAAAAGGTACAAATTCTTAAAAATGCAAAACAGTGTTTACAAATGTACACAGTACTTTTCTTTTACATTTATATTAATTTTCTTATGGTTTAACATTAATCTTAAGATGTTACTGTAAACAGTTAATTGATTTGATGTTTTGGAACAAAACTTTGTGGTGAAGTGACATTAAATTACAAAATAACATATTTCGTCGTTCAAAAGATAAAAAAGTGTACAACACAATGATACATACAACTTGCCTTAGCAAAAATCTTCTTTTGTATATCCTTCTTAGTTGGCTAAGTTTCAGCTTCAATATTGAACTCTGAAATTGTAAAGCAATAAGTGCATTAATCAATTTGACCATATTTATTGCTACTTTATATTCTTCTTTTCCATTTAAGAATTGCACTAATTAGTATAGCAACTTCCAGGCCCTGATTTCATAGCTTCATTTCAGTTATCATATTACTTCATCATCAGTTACTTGCAATAAAAGTTCACGCAATTAAATGAGAGTACTTGTTGTACTGGTTTAGCCAAACTGTTTTATGCATAAGCTAGTAGAATAAAATTGTTTAGAAATTGAAAAAATACCTACACCTTCAACATTACTGAATGGTTGGAAATATAGTGTGGTATGGGTAAGTGCCAGTTTTCCCTGATGCCTTACAAGCGGAGATATTTTCTCAGCCTGCAGCTCACACACTATCTCCTCAGTGAAGTCGTCCATCATCACACGATCAAATACCATCCTCTTATATCTAGAGTATAATATGGTGGCCACCATACTATTATGTTCAGGAGCATGCAATGTAGAAGCTCTTTGCAACTGTTGCATTGGGCCCAAACACTCCTCAGCTGATGCAAAATCAAAGCAAACATAAAACTCCCTCTCTTGATATATAAACTTGTAAGGCGCCAAAATATTCTCCTCCAACATCTCTGCGTATTGCTTTGTTTTCACCTTAATAACCTGACTGCTGGATTGACAAAAACTTCGCGGTTTCACAACGGATATAGTGGTACAGTCCTTGAAGTGCAATTTGATCAGTGGGCATGCCCAGTCTCGTGGCTCGAAAACCAGCGATTTGGAGCAAAGTTTGAGGCGGCCTTGTCGAGCTTTCCCCTCGACTAACGATTCCTTGTCACTCATGGTGCAAGAGTAATCTTCAAAATATATCTCCCCAGGCTCCAAGAGCAACATTGAAAACCTACAGAAAATATAAAAATATACAAATTTTGTAGGTACGTGTAAATGATTAGTGCTGCCATGCTTTTACAATTTAGAACAATTATCATCAACTAGGTATATTGAGAAAGAAATAATGACTCACACTTGCATTAATGTTTATAGTATTACGATAATTATTCACTTACCTTGATTTATCCATTTCGATAAATTATCCAATCATCAGTAAAACGAATCAAGTTTTTTCAGTCCGAACATTTACTTCAATTTATTTTTAAGAAAGGTCTCGCAAACAAAACATTGAAACGGTCGGTCGGTCACAGGCATTATTTTTTCCATCCTATAGCATTAAGCAGGCAAATCACAGGGTCAACGTCATTTTGACATTTTGATAGGAAACATTGTCTATGGTTTAGTAAGTGCGATGTAAAACGATAAAATTCAACATGGTTCCGTAACTAAATTAATGGATACGAAACACTCTATACAACATACTATTACGACCTGGTACAAAAAATTAATAAACAGTAATTATTACATTTAAAATGTGAGATCAAATAAAATAAATTACAAACATTTTGAAACAAAACAGACAAAGTGAATTACGAACCCAATGACATTGCATACGTTAGTGCGAACCTTATAGGATGGTGCGAACCTTAGAGGATGGTGCGAACCGAACCCCAAAATATGAGTTGTGATATGCGTTAGCATCTAATAGTCTGTGGTTGTGATTTTGAGATTGTGACTGACATCGCACCACGCGCGCTTCTTTGAAATTTGGTTGTCTTACTCAAATTTTGTATTTCTGTATTAAAAAGAAAATGCAAGACGACAAAAATGCAATTTATCAGATGCGATTCCCGCAGAAGTTGTGGTATTTACTTAACTTGCAAACTAACGCGGTTTTGTGGGGCGGTACAGGTCGGACGATTTTGTTAAATTACAGGATTCTTCAAAATTACTTGAAAAGTGATCACTCGATATTCAAAACGACGAACATATCAAGTTTTGTTCGACAGCTGAATCTATATGGATTTCGAAAAGTAACATCGCACCTTCAAGATCCTTTGTGCAACTCAAGTAACCCATACATGCATGAGTATGTGCACGATTATTTTCAGTACGGCAGGCCGGAATTGCTCAATAAAATAGCTAGAAAAACTTTAGCTATGAGAAAACAGTTTAAACCTAAGGTAACCTGCTTAGCCGTCGCATTTATCGTCAATAAAAGCTTCGTTACTAAGCTTTATATAAATGTGTCAATTCACAGACAAAAGTAGTTTATTTAAATAAAAAAGGAAGTTTAAAAAAATAATGGCTAGATGCATTTTTATGTTTATCTTGATACATATTCGTTTAATGGAAGAAGCCTTAAAATATCGCCATAAGGTATCTATCTACCTTTACCTGTGGATTGAGACAAATTGCTTATTAACATTTTGCTTATTTTGTTTCCAAAGAGCATTTATGGAAATGGTGACCAGTTTTTGTACGTAACACCACTGCAGAAGGCGCGTAGAGCATTTCATGTTGCTTTGAAAAAGGCTGCACAAGATTTGTTCACCCAAAACTCACCAAAACAATTCTGCAGTTTGAAGTTTGAATGTGATGGTATGATATTAATTTTAGCTACAAACCCACATATTACTAACCCCATAGGCATCTGTGATTAGGACATAATTAGTAGGTACCTACTTAATTAGAACATAAATAGGGTTGATCCCTCTGAATAATTAATCAATGCTGAGCTTTCTTGCTCAGACACAGACATAATATGTACATTTTGATTTTCAGTTCATGTGTAACACACCAAAATACTAACATAACGTTCTTATAACATGAACATTTCAATTTATATCCCCTTTTATAGTGTTTAAATTGTAACTAATGTTGTACTTCTAGAAACACCTGATGATTTTGGTGAAGATGAAGAAAGCTTTGAATTTGATTGGATTGTCTCCAACACACCTGACCAAGACTCAGAAAAACAAATGCCTCAGCCAGGTGCTTTCTGCTTAATCCCATACCTAGTCCATTTTATTTTTAAATTTCAATTACCTACTCCTATCCTAAAAAGCACAAATTGATATGTGCTGCTACTGCCTAATATTACACTCACTTCCACTTACAGTTCTAAAATGAAACCTGTCCTTGATGATGTCTGGCTCTCTCTCCATAATCCCAGTTCCAGTACATTTTATTTTGAAATTCCAATCTTACTTATATTGTAAAAGGCGCAAATTAACGCGCTATTGTTACCTTACGTTACGTTACCACTTACACTTGCAAAATGATACATATCCTTGTAGAGAGTCTGAGAATACAATCCCTTGTCCCTAAAATCCTTTTTATCCCATCCACAGTTGAGCCTGTTGCTAATAAAACTACAATTAACGAAAACACAGCAAATTATAGGTAAGTATTATTTTCAATAATTTATTAACAAGAAACTGGAAATAGTAGGTGTGATCAATTTTATATATCAGTATCTCCATTAAATTTCAATAAATGTTTATGTATTAATAAAATCAAAATGGACTATATCAACATGGTAAATGTTCAAAATGATTCCTGTCACTTTTGGTATTAGGCAAACCAATGCCTATGAAATTTATTGCAAGTTGAATAAAAACATTCCAATGCATTTTTTTTATTTAGAGAGTCAGCACAGGACAGCTTGATGAACTTTAGTGTTGAGCCATGTGAACAGAGCAATGACAATTTCCCAGCTCAATTTCTGAGCATGCCAGATCTGGACCCAGAGCCCACAGAAGAGAAATCCGGTGTAGAATTACTGGCTGAATTTGACATTGACCATGACACTGACCAGGGCATTGCCAGAAAGATTGGAGACAAGAATGACCACAATTCCTTAAACTGTATCCTTCCATTTGTAAGCAATGACCACAATGATGATGTGTCGATGGCAGAGGTGAATATAAATTCTATTTATCTAATATTGTGTTGTTTGTGTACTAATGTATTATGTTTTCAGAAAAATAATGAAAATTCTGATCATTACAATGATGGTGAGTGGGATCAGATGTTCAATGATATTATTGTAAATAAAGGCTCCAATCAAGAATGTGGTACTGATTTGAAGGAGCTCTACTCACAGATCTCCCGGACTATTGATTTACTTAATTCTTAATATTTTGTTTAACATGTTAATTGTGGTATTTTAACAAAGTTCCTTAAATGAAATAAGTTATATAATGTTTCCTTAGACCGTGTATTATTAAGACAAAAAAAGATATAGATACATAAAAATGATTACTACTTTTGTTTTTTCTTTTCTGCTTCTTCTTCTTTTTCCTTCTCAATCACTGAAACATAAGAACTGATGGTGTCAGCGTCTAGCATTTGCATGGGTTGTCCTCGACGCATGACTGCTATTTCTAAATTCTTCTGTCCAGATTGAACTACCTCAAGGAGCGCGCGGATCGCAAGCTGAAAATCATAAAATTTCCTAGTTGATTCTTATTTTATTTCATTATTTATTGTACAGAAAAACACAAATCACATGTAGTAAAACGGAAAACACACGGGTCTCCTCTAAGGAGAAGATGAAACCCATACTCCACAACGCTTGTGCAATGTATGTGGCAAAACTTTCCATGTGTTCCACGGCATTGAGTTATTATTTAATAAATATGTCTTATTGTGTGTGTACTCTGTTAGACATTACCTTGACAGATCCTTTTTCTGTGGCAACTTCCTCGTGTGTGTAGTTCTTTTCTAAGAATTCTCTAACAGTTTTAGCAGACCTGCCTGTAGCATTAGCTTTCCATTCATAGTAGATTCCTGAAGGCTCTGTTTGGAACAAATGGGGCTGGCCATCATAGTCGAATCCGCCGATCAGACATGAAATACCGAAGGGACGACGACCGTTACTCTGAGTATACTTCTGTTTAAGACCAGCGATATATCTAGTTATGTACTCCAGAGTCACAGGGTCCTCCACTGTCAGCTTGTGCGACTGGCACTCGATCTGGGCTCTGTTAATGAGGATTCGAGCATCTGCGGTTAAACCGGCGAACGCCATTACTACATGATCATCCAAAAGGCAGATTTTCCTGACAGTCCTTTCCTCTTGTAACTTAGCCACCGACTTTTTCTCCACCCCCAAAACGACAACATCATCTCCTCTTACCCCTACCTACAGGAAACAATATTATTATAATTCATACAGGTTCAAATAAATATTCATTCAAAAGACATAACCAAAATTTTGATTACTCACTGCCGTGGACCCTTTGCGAACTGCTTCTTGGGCATATTCCACCTGAAGCAAATGGCCATCTGGTGAAAATACAGTAATAGCTCTATCGTAACGTGCAGACATTATTCCCCTATATTTAAATTCCACAAAATAACTACAAATTCCACAACAATCGGCTTCCCAAAGTTGCACAGTTACGGTAGTGATGTGAAATGTCGATGAATAAACATCGATATGCAATTCTGACTGCGATAAGGCGATTCTATAACTAACTAATATTTTTTACTATTCTCTATTTCTGCAATATAATAACTTTTGTTCTGGTTAAAAGTAGAATTAAATGTAAGTTAATTTTAAAACTTGAGAAAACTACTAAAGTAAAAAAATTATATTTCTAATCGATAAATCATAACACGCAAATCCTATCACTAACGACAATGACAACGAGAAATCGTAAAGATTTCGTCTAGAAATCTAAAAAACGAATAAACAAAAAATTTTATGTTCGGATACACATTGTTATTTTTTCCATCCTCTAAACATAGTTCTATACAGTAATAAAGAGTCATTCTCTTGTGCTGCTGGGTCCATTTTGAAAAAATGATGTTTTTCCAATATTTAATTTCCCACATTTGACCTTGAAACCAGTTGGAAGTTGAAGTTGCCTACTGAACGCAAGCGAGAGAGCCCAAGGTTTTTTTTCGCTGTTGTGAAATAATTTTAAATTTCGTTTTTCTCGTGTATTAAACTATAAACATAGAAGTTTGTTTTATAATTCGCGCTATATGAACATAACGGTGGCCCGCCATGCAGGTAGTGAATGAGCCGTTTAAGGCGTCTAACCCATACCGCCAGATCTCAGATATTCTTGTATTATTCTAGTATTCCTTGAAAAAATAACGTTGTTGCAAAAGAGCGCGAAACTTGTGATTTGACAAACGTGTTTACAGCTTTTTTCTATTTTTTTAATAATATTAAGTAACAGGACGCTTGATGGTAAGCTGCACGCCTATCCATAACAGTTGCAGTGACACTCAGCTAGGAGTGCTCGATATACAGGGTGTCCGGTAAAGAATGGATAAGCCTGAAATGCCTTATAGTAGATCGATCGATATGTCGATCGCGTTCAATCGAATCAAAATGATTGAAACAGCACCTATGGCCCGATAACCCGGTTACTAGCTTCTAAATAACCCAATCATTTTAGAGTTTGTGGGTCATGCGCGCAATATTCGACTTTATCATTATAATTTTAGAGATAGTTCAACAATATTATTGTTGTCTCGTTCACTCTCACGTGAAGTACCCACTCACGACATGGTCCGCCTTCTTACTGTTCGTTTGGTCGCTTATTCGATAGAACATTCGTTCGATAGTATGTACCTTCATTCGATCGAACAAAAAGTCAAGCAATCGAACAACGAGTCAACGGATTAATGGATCAATGAGTCTATTAATTGTTCATCCTAATTGCTCCGCGGCGTAGTGTCCTTTATATGGTAATTTTGATCTGTGTTTCGGTATGTTGTGTTTATTTACAAGTGCACTGGCTAATTTTATTGTTCATTAATAATTATTTATTATAAGTAATTTGAATGCTCATACGTTTTTTGTTTTGTAGCACCGTTAGTTTTCCTAGAAGGAAATTTTAGTGTCTTATGTGTGGTTTATCAATGATGCATTTAACTATAGACACATTATCCATGAACAGGAAAGAATAAAAGCAAATTGTATAATTTTTTATTTGATACTTTTAAACGCCATGTGAGAGCATCATGAGAGACGGGTGACACGGTAAAATATCGTACATATGATCGAATCATTTGACCCCATTACACTATGCATGAGTCATGATCGACTCGGGTTATCAAAAATGATTGACCGATACAGGTCTATTTGTTGGTACTGTAAGTTAAGAACGGCGCCCAAACTAGGGGCAACGCCCACCCTTGATCGATTGGGTCGAAACAGAAAACTGCGAATCGGCGCAATGCGAATTCGCAACGCAGAAAACTGCGACGCGAATTGCTGCGATGCGATTTCATGCGGCAAATCGTCTCACAGCCACGGTTCGGGTGATCATTCCTTCGACGATCGTCAATGGCACTAAACGTATTTTTTAAACTAGGCAGCGACGGGGATCCTTAAAAGAGTGTTGCACTGCTGTTATTGATAAGCAAATATAGGAGAAAACACAAAGAAGATTAACATCGCAGGAATACGCGATGCGGAGCAATTCTCAAATTCTTGCGATGCGTCGTGCGAGCTCGCAGATTTCTGTATAGTGTTATCAGTTCTTCATCTGACTCATTGATTTTACAGAATTATTTCCAACTCTGTTCATTCTCAAAAGTATTATCCTATTTTCTAGGAAGTTCAATTCTCCAAAAGCTAACATTGAATATAAAATAAATATAATATAAAATCTGCTTTATTTCATATGCAAAATACCTAATCAAGATGCAAACAATTATAGAAAATTACATAATTTTTTCATAGTACAAAAAACAATAATAGAAAACAAAAACCAACAATATTTCATTTTTCTTTATTCTTCAATGCCATCAAACTACAATTTCAAGTGTTTTTAACTGACTTCAAAAGGAGGAGGTTCTTATTTCGACTGTTTTTTTGTGTGTGTTACACGTTTACTACTTATTTGTGAATCGATTTAACTGCTTCTTTCTTTTGTTGGAAAGACGGTATCTTAGTATTGGTCCCATTTAAATTTGAAGAAAATATTCTACCTCGTAGGGTCGTATTCTAGAACTCTACTCAATGCTAAAGTCAGGATCTGAGTATGATTTCAAGCAAACTATTGAGGTCGGTTTTTTATTTAATTTAACATTTAATTATTAAATTTCAAGATCACCGGGATTCTACATTCCAGTAATTAAACTTCAAATAATTGTATTGAATTGTATTGGCTCGTCTCGTCTCGTCTCGTCTCGTCTCGTCTTGTAATATGATCTTTTCAAAATGTAAATTTTTCCATGTCCCAACACTAACCTAACCTATCACATCATTGGCTATGGCTTCAATGCAGACTGCGAAAAGCCAGGAATAGAATAATTAAACCAAAATATCAATTCAAATTTGTAGAATAGCCGGACGCGTACAGCAAATCGTCGATAAATTGCAAGAGTCAGATTTATTCCAGCAAGCTTATTATGTATAACCTGTACTTACCGTAAAAATAAGTACCTTGACGACACGGCCACTAAATCGTCTTACGGATCTCGATGGATTTCCAGTGTCTTCAGCAGCAACCCACAGAGATGGAAGCAGAGGCGTTTCCTCATTAATAACGCTTGCTCGATTGAGCTCATATGCCCCTTTCCTTAACAAATTGTTAGGGTCGTATTCCACAACTCTACTCAATCAAGTCAGGACTTGTGTATGATTTCAAGCACTAGAAATCGTATATACGAGGGCTGCTACTTATGTATCCGGAAAATAAAAAATAAGCAAACATGTATGACTAAATATAGTTTTATTGTTTTTCAAAGTATTCTCCACGATGATCGATGCACTTTTACATCCGTGTAAACCAATTTTTAAAGCACTTTTGCCACTCTGACTGAGGTATCTCCAAAACGTGTTGTTTGAAGGCGTCGACTGCATCTTCACGGGTCGAAAATCGTTGACCACGTAATTTATTCTTTACATTTGGGAATAAATAAAAATCATTCGGTGCCAAATCAGGGCTGTACGGTGGATGACCAGTTAATTCCACATTTTGACCTTCCGAAAACGGAGTTGTTACGCGTGACGTATGACAGCTGGCATTGTCATGGTGAAGAATGATTCTGCGTCGCCGGTTGTTTTTTCGTATTTCTTCAAATACCTCAGGCAAACAAATGGTCGTGTACCACTCCGAATTAACCGTTCTACGATTTTCTAGTGGCACTGTAGCCACATGGCCATTAATACCAAAAAAGCAGGCCACCATTTGCTTCATAGTGCTTTTTGCACGAGTTACTTTCGTAGGGTTCGGCTCATTTTGAAACACCCACACAGTTGATTGTTGTTTAGTTTCGGGATCATACGCATAAATCCAGGATTCGTCACCTGTGTAGATATTATAGACAGCCTTTGAGTCACCACGGTTATATTTTTCGAACATTTTCTTGCACCATTCGACGCGAGCATCTTTTTGATCCGTAGTTAACATGTGCGGTATCCAACGCGAACAAATTTTTTTTACAGCTAAATATTCATGCAGAATCTTATTAATGCTCGTCATACAAATGCCCAGAGTCGCCTCTATCTCGCGATATGTAACATGTCATGCATTATAAGTTTTCGCACAGCTTCAATGTTTTGTGGTACAACGACCGATTTCGGGCGACCCTCCTTAACCTCGTCCTTGAGCATACTACGTCCACAATTAAATTCACTAAACCAGTGATACACAGTGCTTTTTGATGGAGCTTCATCACCAAAAGTTAAATTGAGTTGATCTATGCACTGTTGTTGCGTTAAACCACGCCGAAAATCGTAATAAATCATGGCACGAATATTTTCACGAGTAAGTTCCATTTTCGCAGCGAGATGACATTTTAAACCCGCCAAAAACAAAAGACTAGCGACATAAGAAAAACAAATAAAGCGGCCAGTATTTTTAAAAAACTTCAAATTTTGCTATGGAGGTTAGATATAGCGTTAAAAAAATTCGGTATTCTGGATTCCGGATACATAAGTAGCAGCCCTCGTATAGGGTCGTATTTCCAGTGCTTTTAATCATACTCAAGTCCTGACTTGAGCATTGAGTAGAGTTCTGGAATACGACCCTTTGTTTCGAAATAGGTACTTTTATTTTTTGTTCTAAAAGTATGCACTTGAATCGATCTTCATAAAAATCGAATCGTAATGTGCATAGAAAGTAAAAAATGTGCGAAATTCAAATAATAACACACACACACTCACTATAGTGTGTGTGCGAAATTCAAATAAACAAGATGGCCGCCATACTTTCGAAACCTTCTATCACGGAAACTATTAGAGATAGGTAGGAGGTGCTGGAAGGAATATCATAGAGGGTAATAGTAGTCAACTACAAAAATTCTAGATGACCAATCCAAAATGGCGGCCGAAGCAAAACTTGTATCGATGCGGCTGGTAATTGGCATGCGGGGGTTTTTATGAGTCCTTGATCATAATTTGGGGTCAAAAGTTTTTTCGCCATTTTTTTATAGCGGCATATAAGTGTTTTTTCGTTAAAAATAGCTGCTGAAAGAGACCCGCTCTGTTCAGCTAAAAATTGGCATGTGGAGGCCTCTAGAAGTGCCAGATAATCATTTGTGCTCGAAATCCGTTTTTCGCCATTTTAAAAAATGGACGCCATACAAACCTTTGTTGGCAGTAGAAAAAAAATTGTTCTGATCCCTTTGAAAGTTGACACGTGGTGGGGTCTCTAGGAGTGCTTGATAATAATTTGTGATCAACATTAGTTTATCGTATTTATTTTTCAATATGGCTGCCATAGAAGTGTTTTTGGCCGCAGATGAAAATTTGCTCTAATTCGATTAAAAATCGGCATGTGGTCCAAAATTTGCAGTCAAAATTTATTTTTCGTCATTTTTCAATATGGCTACCATACAAACTTCTTGGCGGCAGATAGAAATTTGCTCTAATTCAGCTGAAAATCGGTATGTAGGGGAGATCCCCACACAAAGATATGGATGTTTAATAATAATTTGCTGTTAAAATTTACTTTTAGTAATTTTTCAATATGGCTGACTTACAAACTTTTTAGCGTATGATAAAAAATTTGCTCTAATTGTACTGAAAATCGGCATGTCGGGTTCTATAAGGGTATTTAACAATAATTTGCAGTCAAAATTTACTTTTTGCATTTGTCCATATGGCCGCCATTTGTTAATTCTTTTAAAGTCTTAAGTGCCGAGGCCATAGGCCGAGGTATATCGGAAGGCGAAGCCCGAAGCGTCCGCACGCTAGATACCGTACGTAGTTAGTATACGGAGACTAAATTATGAGTACAAGATTTCACAATTGTTCAAAATCTAAGGCATATCTCCCGATGTAGTGGAAATAAGATACATATGGCGTTGTTGTATCTCGACCGTCTCTTTGTTAGTTTCTTTTTTCTTGGAAGCTATGCCAAAAAGAGAAGCATTTAAGGAAAAAATGCCAGACAATTACTCCAAATTTCTGGTCTCAAACTAGGGAATTTCCTGTACTGTGAGTACCAGAGTAACGATAATTCTGAGGGCAATGCCCAGAATACCCTGACCAGAACCAACTTGTCTTTTTTTTCATAAATTGGCTCAAATCAGGGAATGAATCTGGAACCTCCTCATCAAGCGCCCATAGTACTAATCACTGTGCCACTGAAGAGCATAAGCACACCCCGTAATCCGCAAACGACCACACACCACGGTATAGGGCTCGTTGCATATGACATTGGCTCCATCGTCTTCGTTCAGTAACTTCAACTTTTGACAGGTGTCAACTGTCAACGTCAAATGTGTAAAAATAAGGAAAAACATTGAAAAAATATCCGCAAAAATATCCATTTTTCTGAAAAATATTATCCTTTCAAAATGGAAATTTTTCCATGACCCAACACTAACCTAGCCTATCATGTCTTTGGTAGGCTTCAATGCAGACCGCGAAAAGCCAAGAATAGAAAAAAAAGTCATTGTCAAATAGACAATATGGCGGCCTCGTTAAGTGACTTCGTTCCGTGGCTAAATGATAAATTACGATCACTTAAAACCGACGAAGGTGTTTTTGGATCATACATATCAAGTATTTTAGAAAGCGAAGAATCTATAGACGACAAGAAAGATGCATTGGAAGGTATATTGTCCGAGATTGTGGTAAGTATAAAGTTCGGACAGTAGCGTGGTTAACTTTATTTCTTGTTTATATTTATGACGAAATTTCAGGAAACAGATATGTCGATTCATGTGGCTGAGATATTAGACAAGTGGGAATCGTGTAGACCTAAAGATGAGTCCCCTAAGACAGTGTCAGATGCAGAAATGGATAAACGGCTATCAAAATTACTGGAGTCTCAAGCGCTCGCGACCACCACTCGGCGGGAGTACACAGACGAAGAAAAGAAAATTCGTGAAGCTATTCTTTCTCAATACAGTCAGCTATCCGACAATGAGGTAAATTTTAATATTTCATAACATTTTATTTCGTAGTTATTTATGTGTAGTAAAATTATTGCAGATATTTAAAATTGTATATGTCCATTGTAACGTGTGTTTCATGTTTCTTTTCTTTGTATAATAAAGAATATATATAGGTATATGTATAAAAAAAAATTCGAAATTCATTTTGGTCTGGGTATTTTGGGTAATACCCTCAGAGTTACTTCTGATTCTTGTGCTCATAGCATAGATATTTTTTGTCAGACTTGGAAAGTGCCCTTTTGAAAACGATTTTCTCAAAATTTTGTTGTATATTTATCATTTTAAATACCTATTTCAGATATATTAGACCAAATATACATCTTTTGTCCTTTTTTCAGTTTTCTCCCCTAGTAAATGAAAATTTTTGTCATTGTATATGCTCAATAACTTAAGGTCGTATTCTAGAACTCTACTCAATGCTCAAGTCAGGATTTGAGTATGGTTTAAAGCACTCGAAATCATACTCAAGTCCCTGCCATTACGGTAGTATTTCCAGTGCTTGAAATCATACTCAGATCCTGACTTGAGCATTGAGTAGAGTTCTGGAATACAACCCTAAGAATCATAGAGAAAATTTGTAATGACAAAAAGTGTACAGTGAAATCTAATTTATCTGAAGCAAATGTTAAAACCATTTAAAATAAAATTTATAAAACTCAGTGAATTTAACTAGTATGTAACTAGTGAGTTTGTGATAGATATTTATTTCATGTACAGCATATCAGATTTTCTATCTAGCTTGTGACAGTTTTAAATTTAAACAGATGTTCTAAATTTCCAGGATGATGTAGAAAATGAAACTCCTCCTCATCAAGGTGATGGCCCAGAGCTTGTAAAGAACACTAATGCGGCTGATGTAGCTGCTGCTGCTCGTGAGCGCAGGGAGCAAGCTCGCCAGGAAGCACAAAAAAAGAAGGAAAAGGACAAAGAAGACAGGTTAATTATTATTTGCACTGGAGTTCCCAATCGATCTTTCTGATAATACCAATTTTGGTAACATGCGCATAGACAAAATATTTGTAATTCCCTGAAGGCACCACAATTTTTAATATTGAGCAATAATTTAGGAGGATATTTATACAAATTATGTAACCAGATTGTCACTTCAAAAGAATTTTGTTGGATAGGTTATTTTTAATTGTTTATAATCAATCTATGAGTACCTACAAATGTTCGATATATTGCCTGTTCTAAATAATAATTTGTTTTTACAGGGAAAAACAAAAGCAACTAAAAGAAGAGAAGAAAGAAAAGCGCAAGACACAAAAAGGTGAAAGAAAGAGGTAGCAATCTAAATGTGGTAAATGAACAGCCTGGCTGTTCAATATTACTGTATTAATCCCAAAATGGTATTTACAATATCCTGACATAGCCAAATTATTAACATATTCATTGAAAACATGCAATGATACGCAATTCAATATAATTTGAGAATTATTATAAAATTATATGTGGACTGTTCTGTTATAATTGTGACCAATGTTAAATTTCCAATTAATATGTTCATAAAATAATGGGAGTAATTTCTTCTTCACATACTATGTAAAAACTTTCGGAATGGGGCCTGTGCTGGTAATGTGCAGTGCATATATCTAGATAGATGCCGCAAGTACAGCAACTTGTATGAAAACCAAGCATGCCACATTTTTTGTCACCACTATGACGTCACAAGAACTATTTAGTGATGGAAACGTTGTTCCGCTCACTCTAAATCGATTGATTGAACGGAATACGCGTAAACACGCTTATTCAATTCAATTAATCGATTCTAAATGGAATAATTTTAGTTCAAGTATTTGTTAATATTAATATAGTAGAAAAATACTAGAATAAGATAGTTTAGTCCGTTTATTTTACTTGTTTTAAAAAAATTTTGATTACTTAAAAAAAATTAAGACTAATTTTTCATCAACTTTAAATATTAAAATTATTGTCCTTCCAATAAAATGAGCTTATTATACTCGTATGACGTCTTTTTGTAATAAATAGAAGATCTTATTGATTAACTTAAATAATGAAAAAGCACATCAATATATAAACTTGCGACTTCCTTAATTAATTTTACTAGATGGTTTTCTGTTGGTAATTGATCAAATTGATGAATGGCAAGACAAATGAAAATGAAAATGTTTCTGCTGACAAAATAAGGTAAAATCTTATTAATCAGAAGAGGTTTACTTAATGACGGCCTCGTGAAATTTTTGTGACATGTTTATTATTTCCCGGATTTCTAACTTTGCTACTCTGCATATTTGGATAGCATCTTAGGTGGGATAAACTAGACCACCTTCGTCCTCGAAAGCAACGAACTCATATGTGTGACCAACTCCAGGTTTTTGTAAAGACGGTGCACTGTTAATTTCTGCATTGTATTTTTTTTTGTATTACTTATACTATATATCCTGTATGTAATTGATGTAATTATTTGCTCACTATATTCGGACATTCCAGGCAACACGCTGCAAAAATTATCGAAATTACATGAATAAATTACAGAATGTTTTATAATATTGCTAAGGTCATAATAATTTTCGTTCCTTTGTTTTCAAAATCGATCAGAATTGAGAACTGTCGCCTAACGTATACTTCACTAAATGTTAAATTTGGCCAAAAAAATGTACAAGCGGCCGTACCACGAAACTGAATGCAATATACAAAAGTGCGTTCGTTCGATATTCATGGTATATTAATAAAGGATCAGAAATATATCACACCAAGTAAAAGCTGCAATATATTACAAATCATGAGGCATCACTCGGTTGCATATTTGTTTTCTCGAAATTCATACAAAACCAAAATAATTGTTTTTAAAAGAAATTAGGCATCTTCAGATTACAAAATCACTTGCCCGTGGAAGGAAACGTCCCTGTTTACCCACAGTTATGGTGCTTTTGCAGTTTATAATGGCACTATTATGCATTTTTCGCGTTTTCTACTGGTGTTTGTCTACGAAAACGGTTGGTCGCGTTCTGAAGTGTAGCAGTGAAATTAGTGGCAACTAAGTGAATTTCACTTACTTTAGTCACGCGAAGTACGTACACTTGCGGCGTCTATCTAGATATATGTCTGTGGTGTAGTGGTGCAGTGTCTTTACAGAATTGTATACAAGCATGAATTTGAATGAGCATAGCAGTGAAATGACGCCACATTATTGGCCCACAAGCTCAACTCAAAAATCAGCATAAAATGATAATCCTAAACTCTTTTCAAATTCTAGAAAGTTTAAACTAGTTTTTAAAGTTATATTAACATTTCTGTGGCAGAATTAACTCCATTAATGCAATGATTGAATAAAGTAATATTTTTGTAGATAAAAACTGCCAGGATATTTTAAAAATTATTTTGTTGTTTGTATAAAGTATATTAAGGATTTGATTTTTTATTGAGGTGAATTGAATTTACATTGATGGACTACCAAACTTTTGATTCAGTTTAAAGTACTTTTAAAAAGCAATTCATGCAAGTATGCTGGCAAAGCAAAATGAACAAAAATATTCACTGAAATTTCCAACAATGTTATGTTGCAAGTCTTAATAGATATCTGATATGTATCTAATAGAATTGAATCCTGTATATTTAATCTAGTATCAATTTACCTCAATGTTTTTAGAATAAGTGCTTTGTTACATCATGAAACTGCCTAAAATCTAAAATTATATGTATTATGCAAAGATTGAATAGAATATAGATTTTTTTAATGAAAATTTGATATATGCTTGTGCTGTTTTATGTACTGTATATTATCACAATCACTCTAATAAAAGAAGTACAGGCATTTATCAAACATTGATTGTGATTATTTGTCATGTAGATTGTTTCTTTAGGTCTGTACTTTTTCTTTTCATATAAAAGAAATATTTCATTTAAAAATCACAATCATTACTATTAAAATATAACAACTTAGCCATTTGTGTCATTGTATTGTTAAACGAGTTGTTAATTACCTAAAGGAACAGACTACAATATTGCTAATAATTTGGATGTAGAAATATCCCTATGTATATAGTATTTGCGTCATCAATGAACTTGATTTATTTATTACCACTATTGACACAGGTTGCACTTGTGTATACTGGCAGATTATGATAACGACGCCAAAACTAAGTGGCTTATTTTGTGCCTCAAAATAAATGTTTTGTTTTTAGCATTTCAAAAATTTATATGAAAAAATAATTATCATATGAACCAGTTTTTTACCAAAGCTTGTAATTATTTAAATATCTTTTGAAAGACTGCATTCCTTTTTTTTTCAAAAGTTGTGCAATAAAACTTGGAAGGTTCAATATGTCGAATAAGCCCCTGATGTTGTTCATAGCACTGTATGAGATAGACAAACGCATTTTTTAGCTTCTTTTTAGTATTATATATTTAAATTGTCCACCTTTGATAGTAACTTACAGTATTTTGCCTCCACTATTATACAAATGGGGTATATTGCTTTTACTTTAGTCGCTACCAATAGATATTATTAATTACATGTGTAAAGTAACATGTAGGTATATGTACTGTTTATAATAAAAAATCACATGTGCAATTACATTGCTTTTTATTCATGAACATACATATTATATACTTAAAAAAATTGTATATATAGGTATTCTCTTATAAATATCAATGAAAACAAAGACATGTCATTTGTAAAAACATCCCACATAGTACAAAATAAAAATTACAAATATTTTGATCGCAAATGTATGAGAAAGCCTTAAACCAAAGCAAAAATATAGACACAACAATAAAACAAGACTAGATTATGTTAACAAAAAAATTGTTTTTGATATCTTACTATAGCATTATATGCTAATTTAATTTTACTCTAAAGTCCTTTTGATTATGGTTCACATTGACTATCAAAAGACACATCTTTGCCATCAGTGTATATGAAGTTATGAGCTCCTCCAGCATACACTTGTGTTATTACAGCATCACCTAAACCCCCAATATAAACTCTAGTAGGTTGGAAGATGTGCTCCTCTCCACCTGTGCCAGTATTGGCATGTTCATTCCAACCCCAAGCCCATAAGGTGTTATCAGTAGCCAAACAAATAGTATGCTCCGATCCCAATGCAACATCTTTAATATCTCTGCTTTCTGAAATGAAAATTAGTTTTTTTAACAGGCAATTCATACATATCTGTAGGTGAGAGATAAAGCACCTTAAGTGTCAAATAATAATCACAATTATATGTTATAATTAGCTAAGGAAAAAGCTAACAATTCTTTTAACCTCATGTAATCTCAAGAATGCTTGTTTCAATAATTCAATAATAAAATATAATAGAAATGAGACCAACCTGGAAGTTTAACATGAATAATTTTTCCTTCAAATGGTGCTTCAGTACCAAGTTGTCCGTAGCTATTCCTTCCCCAGGTCAACAGTGCTCCATTCTCCAACCATAGCAAAACATTTGTCCAACCACATAAAAGTTTCTTCACTGCTTGTTTTACATCTATATCTATCTTTTGAGGTACATATATTTTCTTATACTTATCACTGCTAAGCAATAATTGACCATGTTTATTGTCACCCCACACATATAAGGCATGTTCTTCAGAACTCCAGCAAATAGTGTGATTTTGTCCACATGATATGTGAGAAATGCAACCAATCTTAGGCACTTGAAGGAATCTATCTGAAGACAGCTTATCTGGTCCTAGTCCCAGTTGTCCATGCTTACCGCAACCTGTTACCCATACTTCACCTTTTGAATTAAGTATAGCTGTATGCCTAAGTCCCATAGACACTGCACAAGCATTCACTTGTAGTCGAACTGGTTTAACTGGATCTGAGAAGTGGTTCTTAGGTAAGCCTAGTTGCCCTTTACTATTAGAGCCCCACACAAATAGTAGTTGGCTATCTGTAACACCACAGCTGAAGTCCCAACCACATGCAATGTTGGTAAATGTGACCCCACTCAAATTCCATACTCTTTCAAAGTTACTTGTCTCATTCTCTTTACCTAATTGCTGCTTTGTGTTCCATCCACAAGAGTAAAGGCCACCATCACTGTCCAATAAAAGTGTGTGGCCACCACCACAGGATATTTGCTTTACACCTTGATTTTTATTGAAAAAATTCATCTCCACTTTTGTTGGTTTCTCTACTTGTTCAGACACTATTGCTAAACCCAGCTGGCCGTGAGAATTGGCCCCCTGGAAAGTAAAACGTGTTCGTATAACATCAAGAAACATTTATGTAAATCATTAGAAACATTTATGTTATTTACCCATGAGTACAAAGTCATTGTGTTAAATAAAAACAGAATTAATAATTAATTTTACTATTATTGTATATAAAAATTTGTGCTCCTCAATATCAACAAAAGATTCACAAAAGGATTGTCATTGTCATATTAATGTCATGTCAGTTGTAATTTTTTTATATTAGTGTCACGGCATCGGGATAAATCCATTAAGCCAAATTTAAATTTTTTTTTCCTGTCTTTTAAATAAAACTTTTTTCTTTCAATGTATTCTTTTAAGTATTTGAATGATTTGAAGGTATCTATATCTCTTCAATGGTGGAAAGAATGTATATGAATAATTGGATGTACGATGAATTCAAATAACTTTGCAGGAATCGACGGCACAGAGATTGGTCGGTAGTTACACACTTTTGTTTCGTCGTCAGATTTAAAAATTGGCACTACTTGGGCTAACTTCCAAGAGCATGGGAATGTACCCGTACCCAAAGATCTGTTGTAAATAAGTTGCAACGGATAAGCCAAACCTTCCGCACATTTAGAGAAGAAAACCGCAGAAATAGAGTCCGGGCCTGAGCCCGTATGGATTTCCATTTTTCTCAATTTATCCAGCACTGCATCCTGAGAAACAAAAATAGATGTGAGACATGCACTGCTGAGGTTAAGATGCTGCAAAGATCCAGAACAAGGACTCTGCAGATTACCTCCCATGTCCCTGTAAACCGACGAAAAATGTGCAGCGAATAAATTGGATATTTCATTACCATCTGCAGAAAAAACTGTGCCATTAGTCATTGCTCCCGGATATGTGGTCTGACCACCTCGTTTAGCCTTCAAAAAAGACCAAAAATATTTAGGATTATCCTTAATTCTCTCTTCAGAGGATTTAATGTAAGCATTGTAGCATTCTTTAGCAAGTTTCTCACAATCTGTACGTAAAAATTTAAAGGACAGATTATCCAGTGGGTTATTATATTTTTTGTATAGGATTCTATATATATTCTTTTCATGTAAAAGTTTTATCAGTTTATTGAACCATTTAACTTGACCCATTGAATTTATAACTCCAGATTTCATGGTTTGTAAGAGAGATTTCATCCTCATAATTGACCCTATCGATTGATTTAATAAAAGTACAGGGTGCATTTTTTAAAAGATTTTATCGGGTTCGATTCCCGCGTGTGGCTAGCAATTTTCGAAAATCTTTGAATTATGTAGTATTATTTCTTTTTAAAAATAAAGGAATGTTTAAGTAAAAATTTCTATCTCCAGTATTTAGAGTACTTTCCCTCCAGGTGGCATTACAAATTTCCACCCGGTATATGTTCATAAGTCTTCGTATTCTGTAGTAAAGATGGCAAGAGGCGGGAATGCCTTCTTCTTTTGTCATTCTGATGCCACAATGACAGTGACAACTTGTTGTGATAATTCTATTGTTCGGATACATATCTACTATTGTGTAATTTTCTGAAAAAATTCAAATAGTGGAAATTTTTCCGGAAAAAAATTCTGAAAAATTTAAAATTATTGTAAAAATATAATTCGAAGGATTATTTTAAGTTTTTCGTTTAGTAATATCTATTGAAGTTTTATTTAGCGTAAATTATAAAATAAGATTGTAGTTTTAAAAATCAAGTTAGAGAAAAATGAGATTTAAAATGATTGGACAACAGCGAAAAAACCTACGGAAAAAGCCTTTCCTTTGGCTCCATATCGTATTCGTTCAGTAACTTCAACTTTTGACAGCTCTTAACAACAATTGTGAAAAAATATAGAAGGGAAAATATTGGAAAAATATCCAGACAAATGTTTATTTTTCTGAAAAATATGATTTTTCAAAAACGGAAATTTTCCATGATCCAACACTACATCGCACATGATACCAAACTACTCGTATTATAGTAACTTTAAGTTGTGGAATTGAGCAATAATAATTTTAAAATTTAAAAAAAATTTGAATGGGTCATAATGCTAATAATGTGATTATTTTTATAGTATATATACGTTATACTTAATTGTCCATAAATAGACGAGAGTTTATAAATTGGTTTCAATCAGTATTTTTTAAATTTTCAAATCGTGTTTTCTCAATTCGACAATTTTAAGATACGACAGTATTTGGTTTCGTGTGCGACGTATTTATGATGACTAAATTTAAAATTAAAAACCAAAAACCTTATCTTTTATCTAAGTTTTTACACCGGTACTGTCATTTTTTTCCATCCTCTAAGGTCACAAGGCACCCGGTTGTACTTACACGTTAATGGGTGATTATTATGTTCGTTTTTCGATCCTCTAAGGTAATATGGTAAGAATGTTGTATAGTCATTGGGATTCATTTATTAAACAGTAGTAAAAACATAAGGTCTACGTCCGTCTGCCTTTATTTTTATTTTTATTTAGCTATCTATGTATATTATATCCAAGGATCGTTTGAGTTTACGTTTATATTCTAAAATTTTAATCAGGTATTCATGATGGCAAGAAATGCCTAGAACACATAAACTATTATAAATTTTAAGATTTGAAAGGGAGCGTATGTTCTTTCAGTAGGTAACAATTGTGTGCTGTCTCTATTTGAACGCTCAAAATTTGTTCTAAATAACAACATTATAGTAAATGTCTATTTATTAATCTACAAATGTAAGTGTAGTAATAGAAAACACTTTGAATTTAAAACTACTTAAGTTTAGTATTGATTGTTGCTCCCATGATTAATCACGTCTCGTCCGCATCTGTGGAGTTAGTAACTTGCTTTGTTTGTGGATTACGCGAGACCCAAACTTTGTGAACTTATTTCGGTATCCTCATGTGTAGCTACATATACCTAACTTAGAAAATCGGAATTCTTGTATCAGTAAGGAATTACTAACAGGTGTCGACTTAACGCATATATTATATATATCTTCTCAAGTCTCTTTGAGTGTAAATTGGCTTAATTCCGTTATAAAATAAAAACGCTGAGAATATAATATGCAACAATCTGTTGGAGGCTATTCACAAAATACCCAACCCACATTACTGACACACTGGTCACAAATTGTAAAATATATGTATCTATTTATGTTATCAAAGTACTCCAGCCAATTTTCCTTTATTATATTAATTATATATTAACTGCCTCCGTGGCCGAACGGTTACCATGCCGGACTGCCACGCAGAGGTCCCAGGTTCGATTCCCGGGCCGGGAGAAATATTTGTATGGCCTACATTTATTTCTCTCGTGAGTTTGGGTGTTAATTTGTGGTTGTGTATGTATGTGTCCATGGCACCCGCGACACAGGGTTTCCCTAGTGCGGGGCTATGTTGTGTGAATGCGTCATTATTATTATTATTATTTATACAGGTTGTATTATGGCTTTAAGTGATTGCATAAGTTGTATGCGGACTTTCTGAAACTAGTATATTCCAGTTTAATTTGAATTCCAAATCCTAAGTGTCACGATGTAGTCTTCGGAAGTTATATTAGTCAGACGGACTCAAAGGTACTTCGAGGAACAAAGTTAGTCTGTTCGGATGGATAATGTGCCCTTATAGATAAAGTTATCAATTATAAAGTTTGATTTTAAATTTTCCAACGAGAAATTTCAAGTATTATTCACCAACGTCTGACCAATAAAATATGACGATCTCCGTGGTTAAGTGCACACCGGTTTTCATGGTGTCATCTGGATCAATGTAGAAAAACTAACTTTTATGTATTGTCTCGGGTCTGTCGTGGGTGTTTGTGGTACCGTCGTTGTTTCCGATTTCCATAACATAAGGGCTTTAGTTACTTACTTTGGGATCAGAGTAACGTATACGATGCGGTCTAATATTTATTTATGTGTATTAAGTCCACAACTTACGCAGCATTTTAACATCTGTCCTGTATTGATGAGTTTATTTATCAAGAAGACTGATATTGGACTGTGTAGAACCAATTTAGCTGGATTCTGAGGAATGGTTCCAATAATGTCAAATGCAACACTCCACAAGAAATTTAATTTATAGGTGTTACAAAATTGTCCATGTGATAATCATTGTCTCACAAGTCAGTTTACATTAACGTTTTACGTTACGTTATAGTTAACGTTTGACCCTGGGATTTCTTTCGTGTGGAGAACCTGTGCCTGCAGCCTGGTGCCGTTGTACAACGTAGACGGATTGTAATTAAACACAATCAAATTTTAAAAAACATAAAAAACTTTTCTTTATTGTTATGTACTTATTAGGTTACCTATCAGTAGTCTCGAAATTTTTCATTTTCCTGAAATAACATTTGGTCGAAATTTCATAACCTCGATAGTAATTTGATTGATTGAGAGGAAAATGTTTTATGTTTTAAACTTAACTTAACCTAACCGAACCTAATCGTGTGTATGCGATAAACATTCAACATATCCTGAAAGAACAACTGTTTCGTTGTAATTAGGTTTTTGGTGTCATGCAAATTCGAACAAACGTTATTTTGGACAAAAAAAATTCGGCTTTGTGATAGGTTACCACTTATTAATATTTTTTAGTAATATTAATAAGTACATTTATCTCTACGTATACATTATTATTTTTACTTAATAATTACTGTACTTATAATTACATTCTTTGGTCGCATCCCTTTTGCATATCCCAATTGTCTATCCTAAGGTTGCCTGTAAGAAATTGTTACGTAGCAAATCTATTATATTAGGGGTTAAAGTATGAAATTGCCGTTTTATTGCTATAGGTTCTTTGAATTTTCATAGAATCTTCATGGTTTGAGGTTTTCGAATGAAACTTTTTTCAAATGGTTTCTGTGATTTTTTTTTTTTAAATTTGAAACATTTGAATATCGACTTTCAATTGTTTTTGTTATTCAATTTAGACAAGAAAGATGGATACTGCGAAAATTCGAGTGATTTTTGAATACGAGTTCCGACGCGGAACTAACGCGGCAGAAACAGCCCGCAATATCAATGCTGCGTTTGGAGAGGGGTCTACTAATGAACGCACCGTGCGATTTTGGTTTAAACGCTTTCGTGATGGAAATTTCGACTTAAAGAACGAGTCACGAGGAAGACCGC